ACACCTCCCCCCCCCCCCCCCCCCCCCCCCCCCCCCCCCCCCCCCCCCCCCCCCCCCCCCCCCCCCCCCCCCCCCCCCCCCCCCCCCCCCAGGGTTTGTTTTCGAATCAGTACCACACGGGCCGTGTGTACTTGCTACCGCATTTGCTTGCTCGCGATCCTTGCTGATTCTTTTACCAGAGTCGTGGGACGAGCACAAAAAGTCTTGCGCCGACATTTTGCGCGGGCCGGTCACTTCGCCACCACCTGAGCCACATCGTTGTGGCATGAGCATCCAAGGAGTCGCAATTGTGCGCTCAATGCAACTGGTGTCCTGAGATTGCACCCGAGTCGAGAAAACCGGAGCTGCGCTGGATGTATGGCAAGGCTGGCTGCGGTATCGGAACGACGTCGCCGCTCTCGCAATGCTTCGCAACCAGCGCATCGTTCCCTCTCGAACCTGCCCTTAAGGTTATCACCCGATCGACTTTTTCCGACGGCAGGCCTCTACGCCAGGGAGAAGAGATCGTGAGTCTCAAAGGTCAATAACAGACACTAAACCTCATAAGGAAATATATTTACTTACTCTCAATAGCTGGATGACCTGGCCTTGTTCAAGTGAGGCGAGCTGGGTGTTGCATTGCCCGAACCAACATGTGCTGTTGTGCTTCGGAGGTGGGCACGTCGGCGCTCCTCGCCCTCTCGAAGACACTTCCGCCGGCATCATGTCGAACCATCTCGTCGCTGGAACAATTGCCTGTTGCTTCCCTTCTTCGCAAGTCAGCTGTGTTCATCAGTCTTTGCATCGCTGGCGAACCGATACTGGCGAGTTTGGAGAGGGAGGGCTCGCAGTGTTGGTGCTCCATAGCCACAAATGTCGCCGGCTCCGAATAATCAGCATTGCACTGTCGACTTGCAATTCGTGTCCACTATGGAACCAGGTCCGCTCACTTGCATGAGGGTCCATGGCCGCCATGTCGTTGGCGATCTCAAAGCAGAGGTGTCGTCTCGGCAAGGGCCTATCGATAAGCGTCAGGCTTTGGGCGATGAAACTCCGGCAAGAAACTGCCATGTCTTCGACGAGGTGTCGAAAATGATCATCTAGCAAGCTTGCTTGTTCACGAATGCCGAATGGAGACCAGGATGGAAATGTGGGCAGGAACATGGAATCAAGTCAGCCCAGTGCCTGTCACCTGCTGTGCCGAGCGTCAGAAGTGGGTGGGTTTTGGGCAAGCGCACACAATTCAACACAGTGGCCTCGATATGAGACAGAAATGGCCTAAGTATACGAGATATGGGCAAACAACGACTGGAACGGTTCAACATCGATATGGATTACGCATTTTGCATTGTGCAATGGGCATCCTATGAGACTACAAGCAATAGACGGACAAGTTGTCTCACCACTAGACAAGTCCCTACAAACATGGTTCCTGTTTCTGCTGTTGGTGGTGGGGAGTTACATCAAGGGAAAATGCAATGGTGGCTTCATTGTGCTCTTGCCCAAGGCAATGGGTTGGTGCTGGGCCCGGCGAAAACTCCCGGGGGGTGTTCTCGGGTACGGTGCTCAAACGAAGTTTGGGTTGTCCATCACTGTGGGACAGTGGTCGCAGGCCACAAGAGGGACTGTATTTCGAGACTGAGAGTGTTGTGCAGCGGGGGCACCGGCAAGAGCGACTCACGTTGGGATAGGGGCATGGGCGTGACCGGGTACACACAACCCTGGGAAAGGGTCTCTGGCACCAAGGCCAAGGCCCACGGCCCCTTCGGTTACTCGCGAGACGTGTGTCTCCGGTGGACTGATCATTGGACGATCTGAAGACACCTTGCTGGCATATCCCCAACGGTCTTTGCCCCGAATGGAGTCATCTCGAAGAGTTTCGAACCTCTGTTGGCCGAGCTAGGGAACTATGGGCTGGTCAAGAAGCGGGAAACATGGCCGACGCAATGTACTCCAACTTCTGCAGATCGAAGCTCCGGGCTCAAACAGCAATGTTACGAGACCAGGTGAACAGGAGAAGCTTCTTTAAAGCTGTCTCTATCTCCGGAATCAAGATATGGAACTGTCTTGTGGCTCGAACACAGTCGTGAGGGCGGTTTGGCCGACAAGGATACATATGATTGCTTGTTTGGAGCTATACAAACATGCCTCAACCTTGTCGGAAGAGTCCGAAGAGCCGGAGGACACACCACCTTGATTGCCCACTCTCGAGGTATATGGCAAGACTATAAAAGAGCCGATGATGCCCCTCGAGATGCTGTGAGAAACTCTTCTCCTCCAACCGCACTGAGTCTCTCATAGTCGCAGTACTTGACTCCCACACTTTCAGGGGTCTTTACCTGCCACTCTTGCAGCTCAGCAACATACTTCCACTGCTTCAAGCATTTCCTCATGGCTTCTTATACTCACGCACTTGTCGACACCTCTACATCCGTCGATGAGAGCCAGAACGGCATGCTCACCTTGGGCGACCCGTACATGGGCGATGATTCCGCCAACAACCCGGACTATCTGGGTCTCCCCAATCAAGAGGGCTTCATGGTAGATCCCCGTGTTGTGGCCTATTCCAACTTTCTTTACCAGGAGGCTGTGCAGGCCGGGGATTTCATTGAGCAGCCACAGTTTGTCGCCCAGCAGCCTGGCAGCATGTTAAGTGAAGCACATGAAATTTGTCTTTTGTCCTTGTTTCTGTTTTGTTCTATCTTGTTCTTGCACACGCCCTATTGCGTGGTGTGGGAGTTGTGGCATTGGTGCCATGATGCTTTCCCGAGAGGCGTGCTTAAGTTTTAAACTTCTTGGCTCTTTCCGCCAGCAGGGGTTTGTTTTGATGTTTGTTTTGAAATGGCTGGCGCGCTTATTCTGCAACGCGCTTGAGAACCCAAAATCGTCGCGCTGCCTGTTTAACCTTTCTTCGTTGCCCTGCCTTACCTGGCGGTTCAGCTCCCGTACGAGAACTTGTTCACTGACTTTTTCCAGTCCTTTATGCCAATGCCCGAGCCAGCACAGATTTCTGTCATGGCCTCAATTCCCGAGCCAGCACAGACTTCTGTCATGGCCCCAATTCCCATCAGCTTGCCCTTGCCTCAAACCACAGAGCAGCCCCAGCATCATAGCTTCACCAACACGGGCTTAAGTCACCATGAGCCTTCCCCTCCCGCTCTATTGGTGAGCGCGGGCCAAGGCCAATACAGGGCTGCGACTGATGCCGAGCTTGTTGAGAACTACCTACAGTTCAAGAAGCACCGCCAGGGTCCATCGGCCGCCAACGCCGCGCAGTCGATCACTACAACGCCGGTTCCTGAAGCTGCTCCCAAGCCGCCAACTCTCTCCGACGTCCCAGACCACTTTGTTAAAGCATACGAGCAATTGATCAAGGATAATGTTTTTGTCGAAGATGGCTGCGTTTGCGTCTCTGTTGGTTGGTACCGCGTCCGAAAGGGGCCCTGTCATGGCCCATGTCGTCAACAAGTTCGAGGGTGACACGGTCCATTTCGTCAAGAACCTCAAGGACATCAAGGTCATGGGATTCTTGGCTTTCCCAGTGTCCCCTGAAAAGCGACAGGAGTTGGAGAGTCAAGGTGTCCAGGCGAATCATAAGTCTATGTATGACCTCATGGTCTACAACGAAAGCAGCCCGATTCCTGCGGGAGAAATCCTCCATGTCCAGCAATCCTAACTCAACGGCCCCTCCTCGGGACATGGCCAGTGATGAGGCTGGCAGGCTGTGGTATTCTGTCGTCGTTGTTCATTCGGAGTTTGTTTTCTATTTGGATTTTTGCTTTGGAGTGTGGTTATTGAATTGGAGAGCCCGTGAATAATGGTAGACTAGAGCCTAAAATAGAGGCTGGAGGATATCGCACAATAACCCCAGCGAAATAAATATTCATACCCAATTGTCTGTCTATTCCACACGGTGACAAGTGTGAACTCCTCTATCTACATTTGGATTGTCGCATATGCGCGGGACCAAACTACCGATGCCCATCGACATGTAAACTTTCTACAATCCAAGACGGCATGTGTAAAAAGTTTATCCGCAGGATCAAAATGACAATTCGGTTGCAGGCAAAATTTACGTCAGAATTGAGCGTCACTACAATGGCACGAACAAAAGTAGCGAAGTAATACGAATTATCATTCCAAAGAAGTAGAAAGGGCACATTGTTCCGGGAAGAGGTGTTTTTCCCTCTGGGTTTGATTTAGGGTAGTCTAAAATTGCGCGGCTCGGAGATGCTGCCCCCTAAAGTAAACAAACGACGATACTTCCGTAGCGCGAGGCTTCCTGAGGCCAGCAAATATGCACCTCACACGCACATGTTATACAGAGCAAGACTGCTGCTTCAGTTATTGAGAAATCAAATGTAGCATTCTATAATATAAACATCATTGAACTTCTGCCGCTATATTTGCATGAACAGTGGAACACTCGAGCTGAGAGCCCTGGTCAAGCGCACATTTTGCTGACCGCACGCCAGGCCGGTGCGAGCACGCTTTCACCTTTCCCAAATTATTTGCAGGTGTATCTTGAGGAGTCGGTCCATGGTTGCGGCAGCTAGCTGACAACAGAAAATGATGTCTGAGTGCTTTGCTCGCGCCATGCGCGGGGCGACTGCTTTTGCAGTTGTCCGCATGGGAACCCTCTTGTGAAACCACCTCAACTCCACCAAGTATCTCTGAGTATGCAAGTGGGGATCACTGAAACGAGCTCTCTGTCCAATACTTCTTGACCCGGCCAAACCAGGCTCCGGAAAGCTGAGCAGATGCTCAGATTGAGCGTCACAGCTCAACGGCGCCGCCCGCTCGGAGATGCGACACGCCAGCATCGTGAACAACGCGACTACCGCGATCAATATGCAACAGAGCGAATCATATGTTTCATGCGCGTTCCTCTCAAAGACACGGAACGTAGACTTCTGGACTGCACAGCCTCATTCAACTTTCCTAGCAGGATGGGCACGGTGTTGTCCAAGACAATTCAAGCCCAGGGGGCCACATTTTCGCGACATACTAGCCGTGGGCCGCACATGGCCCAGCTCGTACTTGCTAAGCCATAGATTGCAACGACACGTGTCGGCCCATGTCTGTTCCCCTGTGGAACCCGTGTATTGAGTCTTCGGCTGGAAGAAGCTGTAGGATCGTACCGAGCTTCCTCTTGCTGAGTCAGGTGCTGATACATGTTGGGCTGTCATAATAAGCGTACACCTTGCTGCCCTTCCCTTCAAGCAGCTCGTCAAGGTACTGGTCAAACGTGGTGAACTCAAAGTCAGGGTATAGCTCCTTTCCGTCGAGGTATCCGAGGTACTTTGCGTATTCGGGGTTGTTGTCGCCACGGACGCCCCACGAAAGCCTGTACTGCCACGTCCAGAGCGACACCAGGTCACTCATCTCCTTGGATCCCGCTTTGACCTTCTGCTCGGCTTCGTTCGCCTTTGAGACAACATCTTCGGCAGGGATCTGACGAGCACACGTTAGCAACCACGGCGGACACATTGGCAAGTATCGACCATACCATCTTGCGCTCTGGCGCTTCACCAGTCTTGGCTTCGACAGCATCGAAGACCTGACACTGGGTCTTGACTTCGCTATAAGCGAAGATGGATCTGTTCAGAGTTCGATCATCGCTGATGATGCGGGCCACATATCTGCCCACGTCCCTCAAGTGGGTGATCGCGATAGCAACGCCCCCACCGTCTACGATCCCGTCCATGGGCGCACTGAGGGCGTAGTCGAACCGGCCCGAGGGCAGCCTCGGTGTGCTGATCTGGAACCACCAGCCGACATCAATGGCGGTGAAAGGGAGCCATATCTTCTTGACATGGTCCAAAACATCCTCTTTCTGTGTATTTGTGAGTCGGAGGGTCATAGTTGAGTGGTGTACAATCTAATGTAACCACGTCAATGCTGGTGAGCGTTGCCACCAGAGTGTCTCTGGGTCCGGAGATGTCAGTGGCGACGAGGCGGACACCAAGTTCCTGGAGCTTCTGGCTGGCTGGCTTTTGGAGAGACGCGGCACGGACGAGCGCCGTGATCTCCTGCTTATCCCGTTAGTAACAGTGTTCTTCGGGCTTGTCTGTCTGTCCAAAGAACTCACAAATTTCGCTGGCGACTCGAGGAGGCCATTCACGATGGACTGTCCCGTTTCACCGGTGGCTCCTACAATTGCGACCTTCATGTTAGTATATGTAATTTGGCTGCTGCTCACGTCCGAGACTGAACCCCCACGTGTTGAATATAGGTTGTGGTGAATCTGGTGATGGACCCTTGAGTGGCGGGAGTGGCGGGTGCACTGTAAAACCCCACCGGGTACCTAGCCGAAATTCGAATCAGCCCTGCGGACTGGACTGGAGTTTGGACTGGGGCGTGCCGCTTCTCGCCAAGCCTATTCGAGTTGCCCAGAATTTTAAATGCAGCGCCAAGCGAGAATAATAGGGGCAGCTGAGAGACCATCAGCGTCCGTCTGAAACGGGGATGGAGAACGTGAGCAATGCATCTACGTCTTGGAGTCAGGGTCCTCATCAGCGAGAAGGGAATCTCGATCATTCGTGATCAACTATGCGCTGGCATGCACTGGCACTGGCACTGTGAGCACGACAAAGCCAGGATGGGCACAAAGCCCGTAAGGCTGGCTCGAGACATGCTCGGCGTGCAGCACAAGTGCTACGCCCGAGGCTCATTCGACGTCAGCCACGGGAGGCGCAGCAGATTGACTCACGCCGTGGTGAACGATTTGGGGGCCGAATTCAGACATGTTGGCAGCCCAGGACCCGGATGCCTGGAGGGGACACGCTGTCTGGCATTGTATGATTGTTGAATCCTCCCTGACAGAATGATCATCGTTGACACTGGACTTTGTCATGCGTCAGGGACGGACTGGAGTCGAGGATTCAATGCCTGAATAGGATCGCATTAAACTCGCGTGAGGCGCAAGCCAAGCCATCTTAAGGTCGTGTGGCCCCCCGGGGTAAAGAGATTCAGCGCTTAATAGGCCTAAGAAGGCTAAGATGATTACTGCGGCCCACTAATCTTAAGCCCCGGGCGCATCCCTGCAGTGCATGCCGGCCTCAGTATCCACCGCCTCAGCTCGGAGGCCAAGCTCAAAAGACCTGGACCAGGCCAAAGTAATCTCGACGCGCTTCAGGATTTCTCTTCCCCTCTTGCTTTCCAAAATTAAATTGATCAAGAGCATCGTCTCCCTTCTTACACATTTCTTGAGATAGCCAACGAAGATTGCAGTCATGGCCACGCAACCACCTCCGCCTTACCAGCCCAACGGCGAGCAGGGCAACAAAAGCGCCGCGCCCGCGACCAACTTGTCAGTCCATTGCTGAATGAACGATCGAGGTAGATGGCATGAAGCTAACACAATCACAGGCCCGGCCAGCCCATCGCCATGCAGCCCATGGGCCAGCCTGGCATGGACACCTCTGGACAGAAGGTGACGCCGCTCCACCTCATGAGCGAGGTGCCCGAGTGGGTGGACTGCCAAATGTGCCAGCAGCGCACGCGCACGCGCATCGAGAAGAAGGGCGAGGGCATGCAATTGTGAGTTATAGCTCCTGCTCTTCCCGCCTCATTAGCCCGTGGGTGGAAGAGGTCGCGCGACAAGCTGCTAACCCAGGGTCCAGTCTCACAGGTGCGCTCCTCTGCCTCGTCTGCATCTGTCTCGCCCCCCTGCCCTGCTGCCTCCACTGGTTCGAGCAGACCAACTGGTACTGCGACAAGTGCGGCAAGCAGATTGCCACGCGCACCCCCGAATCGCCCGTCCATGTCCTGCCTCCGCCTCACGCCCTCAGCGTGCCTTCGCAATACGGCGGCCAGCAGCCTCCTCACGGCCAAGGTCCCCAGGGGCCGCCGCCGCCGCCGCATGTCAACCCCCAGGCTGGCGGTATGCCTCCTCATGGTCAGGCGCCCATGTCGCCCCCGGTCGGCTCTCCCTACGCTGGCACGCCGCCCGCCGGCCCTCCTGGTGGCAGCCCCGTGCCCATCGAGCACCAGCACAACCCCAACCCTGAGATCACGCAGGCGCCGCTCCCAGCGCAGACTACCGGAGGCCCCGACTCCGTGCCCATGAAGAACTAGAGTCTTGGTGAGAATCGAGCATTGCGCGGTGTTGGTGAGGCGAGGCGAATGGTGGTGGTGTCTGTAATTTGTGGGTGTGGAGTTTGACTAGGCTTGGTGGTGTTGCAAGATCTGGCTGTGAGATTTGGCCATAGATACCCGATGATGATTGTCTTGTTTCTCAATATACACGACCTTTTTTTTTTTTTCTTCCCGCGCGGCCGGAAACACAACGTCGCGATGATACAATATTCGTGCTGACGCCGAGCGTCAGGCTGCCGTCGGTTCCGAAGCGGTCAAGAGCTGACAGGGAATGACTTAGTGAGCTAGGAACAAGTCGATCACCGAACACACTTCCTCGACCTCATCCGACTCCTCCGTTTTCAAGACACTTCGCAAAATGGCTTCTCCGGCTACCGCGCCAGACAGCAAGGCTGGCACGTCCATCTATAATCCTCACGTCCTCAACTTTTACGATGCTTTCGTTCTCGGCTTCAGCAATGACTACGCGTGGAAATGCCCCACAGAGACGGTCCTCCTGCCATTGTTCCAGTCGGCCATTGGGAAGAGGCATCTTGACGTCGGTGTTGGAACGGGTTACTTTCCCGCGACAGCTGTCGCGCGGGATGTCGACAAGGTGTGCCAGGAGCTCACGCTGCTGGACCTAAATCCGAACACACTGCAAATGGCAAAACAGAGGGTCGAGAGTGTCGCTGGCAGTGCTGTTCGTGTCGACACGGTGACGGGGGACGCAACTCAGGCTCTACCCCTTGAGGGACGTGTATTCGACGGTATGTCCCTCTTTTACTTGCTGCACTGCATGCCTGGACCGACCGCGTCCAAACTGCGCGTCCTTGATATGCTGCGACCGCATCTCGCTCCAGGCGGAACTCTGGTTGGCGCGACGATCCTGGGCGAGGAGGCGGCCATGAATCCCTTGGCACGACTTCTCATGAGCCTGTACAACTGGAAAGGCATCTTTGGGAACTGGGAGGATAACAAGAAGGAGATTGACTGCAAGTTGCGAGGGTTGTTTGCGGACGTGGAGACCTGGGTCGTTGGACGTGTGATGCTCTTCAGAGCTCGGAAACCGTTGGATGTAGTCGTTGCAGGGAATTAGCCGGCGAATTAAGGCTGAGGCTGATGCTACCTCATCTCATGGCAACTCGTACTGGGTAAGGTACCCTGAATTTTGATGTCGCTGCAGAGGAACCTCCATCTATCTGAGCGAGAGTCAGAGACGCCGCGTCGTGACAAGACCAGACATGACAACGGAACGGACCGAATAAAAGTGTACTGGTTGAATCCATGAACCAGATGTTCCGTAGAAGTGAGTCGTCCATGTCTCAGCACCATCATCATCATGAGCCGCAGCCGCCGCTACATGTAGGTTGGATGGCCACCCCTCCTCGTCCCAGGACGCCAGGCTCATGTCGCCGCGCGAGGGACAAGGTCGCGCCAAGCCTCCAGTCGTCCCGCGTGACAATGGACGACCCCCTGTTCTCACGTTCTCCACCTTGTCACAAATTGGATACATCCTCATCAATCTTCAACGTACTACCTTACCTTAGCCCTCCAAACCCTCTCTCATAGCGCAGCGCAGCTCACCGCGACGGGAGGCTAATGAATGACCAGAACCCCCCGCGGGGGTACCAGCACCAACCGCCCCCGTACCAGCAGCCATACCAGCAGCCGTACTATGCTCACCCGCCGCCGCCTCAACCGCCTCGCCTGTCGCTCCACCATCGTTTACAATGGTGGTACAACATCACGCGCCCCTGGGCGATTGTCGTCCCGGCCATCACCCTCATCATGGACGTGTGGTGGTTCGCGGCGGGTAGACTGTGCGGCTACACCGACAGCGTGATGGACGAGTGCTTCTGGGTTCTGTGGCTGTCCCTCCCGCTTGTAAGCCTTCTTCTTCTTTCTCTCTTCTCCCCTTGGCGAGACAGAGTACGTACTGAACATAAATCTGTGCCACAGGCCGTCGTGTCGCTGGTCTGGAACCTGGCCGCGACCATCTCGACGAGGAGGATCATGCATCAAAGACCCGGGTTCGCCCCGGGTCTGCAGTTTGGAGGCCAGGCGCTGGTGGCGTGCGGAGCGTCCGTGTGTCTAGGTCTCCTTGCGCGGCACTTTGCCATGTACATGGACGCGTGGTGGTCCAGTTCGCTCGAAGGCGCCATGATCGCCTTGATTTCCATCATCACGTACGTTCTTCATGTCCATTGTCCGTCCTTTGATGGTACCTTACTGACTAACTGGGGGAAAGGTTCTTCAATTGGGTGCTCACAGCGTTTGCGGCTTACGAATGGGCCATGGAAAGGAGAGCCAGGGATGAGGAGATGTATGTTTTATAGCATCAAATGCGAGTTGTCGTTACAGCGAGTTATCATACCCCCCAGTCTAGTGGACTTTGTTTATCGTACAATCTCCCTTTGGCGTAGCGGCATTACAGAACCGAATTAGGAGCAATCCTCCATCTTCATGTCCCAAAATCTTGTCATTGCCCCAACATGTTCCCCGTGAACCCACCATGCGCCGCGAAGCGCAGCTGATAGTCCCTCAGATCGGCCCAATGCCGCAGCTCTTCCTCCTCGTCCTGCGCTGTCATCTGCATTGGATCGCTGGCCCTCGTGGTGCCAGCGGGACCTGTCTTCTCCAATTTCATGAGCACGTCAATCAGCTGGGACAGCGCCTCCTCAGACTTGATGGCAAAGGGGCCCTTCCGCTCCGGCGCATCGTTCAAGAGCGTCGATGCGACTTGCCGAATCTTGTTGATTATGGAGCCGCCATTCGGTTCGAGATTGCGCTGGGAAATGGATCCAAGAACCGTCAAGAGGTTCTCGACAATGAGCTCACGCTCCGATGTCATCAGAGAGAGTGTCTCCTTGTCTTCCTCGTCATCAATAACTTTCTGCTCCGGCGTAAGATGGATCATGCTGTGCGGGTTCGCCAGATGCACATCACGAAGATTGAAGTAGAGCTCCACGAAATAGGAGCGAGTTGCCAGCTGAGACGTGAAGATGTTGGCTTTCTGGATCTCATACTGGAGTTGACGCCGTCGGTGCGGCTGCGTCTTGAACACATTCCGCAGATCGTGGGCTGGCTGTGCAGTAGGCCACAAAGGCGGCACATACTGCATGGTCGTTTCCTCAAACGCATCCATCGGGTCCACCTCGCCGTGGTTGCCAAGCTGCAATTCAAGTGGGAGATCGTCGATAATCCCTTTGACGGCGAGGAGGGCCGATCTGAGCGAGGACCGCTGGTCGGACCACTGCAAAGCACTCATGCCGTAGGCAAGCTCAGTGCTGACGATGCCGTTCATCGTCGTGTAAATGTCAATGGCAAACCGATACCCTGTGAGTAAAGATGCATTGCCCTCGTTTTGATCGTTGATCTGGTTGGCGAGGATGTACATGTCGTCGATGTTCTCGGGATACGCTGGGTAGGGGAAGTTGGGTGTCGAAGGCGGGATGACCGTGCCGATTTGGCTGTCGCCCAGCTGCGCATATGACCTGTTGCCGAGCAGCAGGCACCAAAAAATGCGTTTCCCAACTTGGTCCTTGACATGATTAAAGGGCAGCGGATCGGGCGAGTACTGATCGTTGCCAAAGGTTGGTAGCTCGCCTGGGTTCTTAGGCCGGCTGAAGCCCAACTCTCGTATTAACGTCAACGTCTCCGACATGAAGAAGTGAGACAGGTTCCACTGGTGCGTGTAGCTGGCGGCCAGACCCAGGAAGTAGCTGGTCGCCGCATCATCGAGCGTCTTGGGCTGCTTCGCTGCGAATCTGGGACCGCGGGAATTTAGCGCGATATCCCGACACTTCTCGATCAGAACAATAGCGCGCGGGAAAAGGTGCGTGCTATGTTGTGCTTTCAGGTGCTCTCTGGCGCTGCGAGGGAAAGACGCGACTAGTCCACCGATCATGCTCGCAATCAACCCCAAAAACTCTGGTCGTGTGCGGTCCTCGCGATTAGCAAAGGATTGCCGGAACGTCGGCTCGTGGGGGAAAGGCGCAAGCGGGTGTATGTACGTGAAGAAGTCGTCGATCAGCAGCTCCAGCACCGGCATTGGTGCTATGCTTTCCGCATCTTGGACGCCTTCAGCTGTAAGGTTCAAAAGACCCTTTGTGGCCATTTGCGGCGATGGCGTGGGAAAACTGGCGGGTAGGGGCTCGATGCGTGCTCGCTTTGCGGCCTTGGCGGCCTCGGCATGCTTGTTGGGCGGTCCTCGCCTCTTCGTCTCGCGCTGGTAGGTACAATCCACGCCAAGCTCACGACATGGTTTGCAGGGGATGCCCGCGTCGTCGCATTTGACCTTGCGCATGCTGCACATATCGCACGCGCGTCGCAGTCGCGTGAGCTTTGGGTTCACAGTCGGATCGCGTGACTCGGACAGTTGATGTGAGGTGGGCGTAATGTCTAGCCCGTGCTGCGGATGCTGCGTCTGAGGCTGGGCCATGTGCGCTTGCGCCAGGGCGGCAACGGCAGACGCGTCGGAGAGGCCATGATGCTCGATCGTAGGTTCTACGCTGGGATCAGCGACTGCTGCTTGCAGTTCTGAATGCCCCGTGAGCCCTTGCGCGGCGTCGCTCGCCGCCTGTAGGATTTCGAGCCCATTGCTGGCGTATGCGTGAACATTGGCGTGATCGGTCTCGGTGTGCTGCGGTGGCTCTTGATACGCGTGCTGCTGGTCGAGATGGTCCTGGGGATGATGTTGGTCTTGATGATCCTGAAAGTCAGGTTCCGATTGGTCTACAAACGCCTCGTGCACGTCCTCGTGGTTGATCGCCTCGTGCTTGGAGGGTTGTTGCTGCAGCGCCGAGGACTCTGGCGATTGTGGGGAGCCAGACATGATGGCGGCGCGGCGCGTCGTGATGTAGTATTTACCGATGTTGATGCGTAGAAGCCGTAGATGGCCCGACGGATTTGATGCAAGGCGTTGCGGATGTGGCTCACTCACGTGATCGCCCTGAAGCGTACAAACTCAGGCGTGCTAAGGTAGGTACGCAATACTTGGGACAAATCTGTCTTTCCGCCGGTTGCCGTCACAAGCCAGAAAGATTTTTCTATCAAGATTCTAGGTAGTAAGAACTTGTTATCCGAGAGTCATTTATCAGCAGCTACAATCTGCGACATGTTCATCACCCATGGATCTAATGTTAGACCCCAAGATTAACTTAGCACTGAGAAAAGATGTCGATGGCTGCTTGTCAAGGGCCACCTTCCGGGACGCCCTTCGAATACTCTTACTACCACTGTGATTGTATTTGCTGAAGTCTCACCGTGGAAACTCATCATTAGTCCTTCAATTTGAGTGAGGTATGGCTTGCTCTGTCTAGACAGCGCGGCTCTGTAGGGTAGCTGCAAGGCAAGTTCGCCAATCATGTCCGGCCACTAACACACACACACCCCTTGGTGAATCTGGCGCTACGCTTGCTAAACTGAGCTCTGCTTCAAGAATCTTGATTCCGACAAATGTCGTGCCAACGCAGACAGCCAACCAAGGCGTTATTAATTTTGTGTAGCAAGTCACAAGCAAGTTAGCAACCAGTATTACTCGTACTTGGCACATCGACATGTACCCGCTCTTTCTGCCACGAAGATTTCCACTCTCGGCTCCATTCCGATCCACAGCATTGACATCATCGTTCATATGCTTTGGCAGGACAAAAAATCACTGTTCTTGCCAGCTCTGTCATTGAACTCCAGCGGCCAATGTCCTGGGAAGAGACGACACCACACGGTAGGAGTCACTATACGTATGTAGCCATGACACCAGTCAAATCAACACGCAATGATGAACGAAAAGGCGGTGCAGCTCAATTCAATTCAGATGCGTCGAGAACGTGTGGACCCTCCAGGGGTCGGCAGTAGATCGCGCATCGAACGTCAGCTCCTGAACTTGCTCTGCATTTAAAATTCGCACCCCAAAGACGGCTTTCTTCCTCGAAGCGCAGAGCCTCCTTTCTCAGCGGTGAGCCAGCTTGCACCATGCGCACATTTCAAGTTTGCTGCGGGAGCATCCAGTCGAAACAATGCCGGGGTGAACCTTATTCATTAATTCTAATATGTGTCTGCTAGTCTAGTACTGAGTCAGAGTATACTGAAGCCAGGCAGGCAAGTCTCGACACGCCGCAAAATAATTACCCCTCCCCCACCATGAGTGCCATCATCAGGTTCCTGGCTGCGTCACGGCCTGGCCATATCTGACCGCCATAGACACCGTGCCTGGCACCCCATTCCTGTAGGCAGCGGGGATTTCTGGAGTGAGGTAGGTGGCATTCAGGTGATACTGCAGTCACCTTTACGTACCCGGATATGCCTCTGATCAGCAGCCCAGGAGCAAATTGTCCTGGTGCCCCACTATAAACACTTTCAACTGGTATCGACGTTTTCCGTGAATCAGGGCTGCTGGAGTCGACACGGCGCAAGAGCTCCAGCCGGCCTGTGCGACTAAAGCCTTCCATCTCATTTTTGTGACTGTGATACTTCAGCTCATCACTCGCTTCATTTGTCAACTTGCTCTATTTTCCATCGTACGTCGTCTTCATTGTCTGGATTCACCTGCTTCACCTACTTAGACGGCTGCATCCGTACCCTGCCTGCAACCATCAGTCTAGAATCCGCCCCGCAATTTGCACCTCACGCTTGCTACTTGCAGCGCGCGTCCGGCGGCAACGCCTGGTGTCGGAATGGCGTCCAGAACTGCCCCCCATGAACAACACCATGATAGCGCCCCTCCCAATGGCCTAGCGGGCGAGCCGACTGCTGGTGGCCACGACCGCGGCCAACGGAAAGCTCCCGGCAAGCTGGCCTTTTCGAACAACAATCCTCCAGCAAGAGACGACGCGTACGAAGACGAAACGCCGCGACCTCCCGCGTCCACCGATCTAGGTTTCGAGGCTGTCACTCCGGGCATCGACCCTCGTAGTTATCTTGCTAGCCGCACGACAACCAGCAGCGGGGTCCCCAGCGTCAGCTACTTCTCTCGCAACGACGTGATCATCCCTTCGCGGACAGGATTGCGCGATCCTCTGACCCGCCAAACGACTCTTCCCTACAAGATGGAGCGTCGCGAGTCTCTCTCTGAGATTCGGGCGGCCAATCCGGACCTCTCGCTCAGCGGCAACATCATCTCGGCGACCTTCAGCGCCCCTCATTCGTTCACGTACCGCACAGGAGGCCAATGGGTAAGCTTCACCGTGCCACGCACGCCATGATGCTTGTCTCACATACTGATGCTCTGGAACAGGACCTCAAATCCCGCCGCGGCCAATCGGCTCTCATCGACTCGTTCGCCTACCTGTCTTCCGACGCTACACCATGGAACCACACCGTCGTGGCGTGGACAGGAGAAGTCGACCATCCCTCAGATGCTCCATTGTCACCTCCCGAGACGCCTCCAACCACGACCGTTGGTGCATCCTCGCTGAACCCGCTCTCTGCACCCGTGCCCGTAGATGCCACAAGCAAGCCTGCGCCCGTACAGTCGGAGGGACTCTGGGTACCGAAAAAGGATCAAGAAAGGTTAGAATACGAGCTCCGCCATGACAAGAGCATGCCTACCATTCCCGTCTGGCTGTCTGACGAGGCCGAGTCCACACCCGAGGGCATCACACTCACCGACCAGACAAGATGGAGGAGATACGCCGAGCACGACCTGTACACACTGTTCCACTACAAGCAGCATGAGCCCTCCGATGGGCGCAAAGAGCGCGTTCAGTGGGCCGACTACTACCGCATGAACCAGATGTTTGCGAACAAAATCATCGAATTTTACAAACCTGGCGACATTGTGGTGGTACACGACTACTACCTGATGCTGCTGCCCAGCATGCTGCGCCAGCGAGCACCCGGCATGTACATCTCGTTCTTCCTGCACTCGCCATTCCCCAGTAGCGAGTTCCTGAGATGTCTCCCTCGCCGCAAGGAGGTGCTCCAGGGCGTCCTTGGCTCGAATCTCATCGGTTTCCAGTCGTACAGCTACTCGCGTCACTTCCTCAGCTGCTGTACGCGTATTCTGGGCTTCCCATCAGACACTCTTGGCATCGATGCCTACGGAGCTCGGGTCCAGGTCGGTGTCTTCCCCATCGGCATCGATGCAGCCAAAGTGGAGTCCTTTGCCTGGAATGACACTGTCACCGAGAAGTACAATACACTCAAAACCATGTATGAGGGCAAGAAGATCATTGTGGGGCGAGACCGCCTGGACAGTGTGCGTGGTGTGGCCCAGAAGTTGCAGGCGTTCGAGCGCTTCCTCGAGCTGTACCCAGAGTGGAGGGAGAAGGTTGTTCTGATCCAAGTTACGACACCTACGCTGGTGGAAGCCGAAAAGGGCGACCCCCAAAAGAAAGTCAGCAGTCGGGTGAACGAGTTGGTGATGAAGATCAATGGGCAGTACGGAAGTCTCGGGTTCTCCCCGGTGCAGCATTACCCGCAGTACCTCAGCCAAGACGAGTACTTTGCACTGCTGCGTGCCGGCGACATTGGTCTCATCACATCGGTCCGCGATGGTATGAACACTACCAGTCTCGAGTACATCGTGTGCCAGAAGGACGGCCATGGGCCCCTCATCCTGTCCGAGTTCAGCGGCACGGCTGGCAGCCTGGGCGATGCTCTGCACATCAACCCATGGGATGTCAGCGGCGTGGCGGAGAAGATCAACCTGGCCCTGACCATGTCCGAAGACAAGCGCATGGCCATGCAGGGCAGCCTCTACAGCCATGTCACGAGCCACAACATGCAGTCGTGGATCTCCAAGTTCATCCGCAAGGTGTATACTGTTCTCGGCGACTCGAACAATGCCATTGCCACACCTCTATGCGACCGGGCACTGATGCTGTCGCGCTACCGCGACGCCAAGAAGCGCCTGTTCATGTTCGACTACGACGGCACGTTGACACCCATTGTCCAGGAGCCGAGCGCCGCGATCCCGTCCGAACGCATCATCAAATCGCTCCGGCTGCTCGCAGACGATCCTCGGAATCTGGTTTGGATAATATCCGGGCGAGACCAGGAGTTTCTTAAGCAGCATCTCGGTCACATCTCCGCCATGGGCTTCTCGGCCGAGCACGGTAGCTTTATGAAGAACCCATACTCGGACGAATGGGAGAACCTGGCGGAGAAGCTCGACATGGGCTGGCAGCAGGAGGTCGTTGACGTCTTCCAGAAATATACGGACAGGGTTCAAGGTAAGCAGGCCCGAGCGCTTCACTTGTTGTCAGAGTGCAATACTAACTTGGCGCGTATAGGGTCATTCATCGAACGTAAGCGGTGCGCCCTGACTTGGCATTATCGCCGTGCCGACCCTGAGCTTGGAGAGGCCATGTCGAGGGAATGCCACAAGGAGCTCGTGGAAGGCGTGGGTACCCGGTGGGAAGTTGAGGTTATGGTGGGCAAGGCCAATCTCGAGGTTCGACCGACGTTTATCAATAAGGGTGAAATCGCGAAGCGCCTGGTCAAGACGTACCACAACCCCGACGCGCCTGCTGACAGCCCCGACGCGGGGCCTGTCGAGTTTGCGCTGTGCATGGGCGACGACTTTACGGACGAAGACATGTTCCGGAGTCTGAATGCGCTCTCGGGTCCTGTCCTCAATGCCGACCACGTCTTCACAGTGACGGTCGGTGCCAGCACCAAGGTGACCCTGGCCAGGTGGCATTTGCTCGAGCCCGAGGACGTGATCGAGAGCGTTGCGCTCCTGGCGGGGACGGATGACATCCAGCAAGTCAGCGAAGTGAACCTGGCCGCCTTGAGCTCGGTCGAGGGCCGCGTACCTGGCGCACTCCCCTGAGACCACTGGATGCGACCGGCGCATGCATGATGTCGGTCGCTGTTCGGCGCTTTTTCATGGCAGGATGTCCGGACATGGGCATTTGGCAGTATGTGGACAACACTGGGACGATCAAAAAAACAAGAGGGTCCACGGCGTATAATAGACGGGTATCAAGGGGGGTTCTAGGCGCACCGGGAGCGAACTCTACACACCAGGCAGCGAGCGACCGAGGTCTGGACCTTTTACGCGAGGAGGAGTATGCGATTGTAGGACGTTTGCAAGATATACACAACAGCTATTGCATCTTTTACAAATGTAATGGGTTATATAGACGAATGCCACCATATCCGACCATCCTGGGAAGTACTAGTACGACAAGTCGGCTTTCGCATCTGCGCTACTCGCCAGGAACGCAACGCGCCATGTGACGGATTGTCGATGTTCCGCTCTCACTGCAGACAAATGGCCTGATGCAAGGCTACCCGAAGTGCCCGGAGAGCATGGAAGCAAGAGGGAGACGGTCAGCAAGGAACAGTTGACGTGCACTCGCTGGGCGGACATGCCCGAACGATGATGGCCACCCCTTCGGTGGCCCTTCGGCGCGGCGCTGACAAACAATGAGCCAACAGGTGAGCACATGATTTCATCGTCACGACCTTCGTTTCTGTATAAATGGTTGACTGTATTCGACGTCACGGCGGCCCGATAGATCGGGACAAGCAGCCGGCTTGGCACGTCGGCACTTAGTCGAACGCGCTGCGGGTCCACCGTGGAGGTGCCGGCCGGGTGCGAGTCGCCACACGACACGACGAGGAGTTGACTTCGTGGACACCGAATCGACTCCAGCTTCTTCCCCATGGAGGGCAAGAGAATTAAAATCAAGGTTGAACCGAAGGACGGGCAACGAACCAGCGTCTGTCGTGGGCGAAGCTCAAAGGAACGAAAATTGACTTTGCTGGCCCGTGAGGGTGGATGGATTTTGCTTCACACACAGCTGCCTTTCTCCGGAGCACCCGGCTTTTTGCCAGCACTGGACGAAGAGATCATTGATCTCTAACCCCCAAGCACCTCACACATGATTGGCTGCGTGTAAGAATGGAGTTTCTCCTCCACACTCTACCACACCGGACCTACTTGGGGATTCTGGGTGTAGTCTGGGACTCTGGGGGACAGCCGCACAGCATGGAGGTGGTCACGGGTCCGTAGACGTCATCCTTCAACATGGAAGACGACTGGCCTTGACAGTGGCCTATATGAAGTCGAGTTACCCCGAGCTATCAGGCGGTTGGACGCTTGGGGTATGCTTGGCCGATGATCTCTCTGTCTCTGGAACGCTGAAAACCAACGACAAGTAAAAAACCAGAATCCGCCAACATGAGACTTCCTGGGAACCAAGTTCACTTTGATGAACAAGACCCGAACTCGGAGAAGGGCAGGCAGGGGCTGAGGAGCTCCCTCAGTGGGCTGGACTACTCGCCCCTGCCCAGAGTCTCGCCTCGGGTGCTCGTGATGGGCGTCTTGATTTCCATGGGTGGACTCATGTGAGTTACCTCGCCTTGTGCTCCCCGTTGGCGATGCCATGCAAGAGACTGACGAGACAAGTTTTGGGTACGACACGGGACAAATCTCAGGATTCCTCGAGATGCCCGACTTTCTAGAACGATTTGGCCAACGGAAGCCCGATGGCACTCCCTACTTCTGTGAGTCTCTTTATGCTTTGCGCCGCGCCATCCTGTGATCCAATGCTCACACACCACTCCAGCCACGGTTCGCTCAGGCCTCATCGTCGCCCTGCTGTCCATTGGCACACTCATCGGTGCTCTTGTGGGATCGCCCATTGCCGACCGCATTGGAAGGAAGAAGGCCATCTCGTTCTGGTGCCTCATTGTGTCCATTGGATTTGTGGTACAGATCGCGTCCATCACAGCATGGTACCAGGTGATGATTGGCCGTTTCATTTCCGGCCTCGGTGTCGGTGGCCTCAGTCTCATGGTGCCCATGTACCAGGCTGAGACCGCTCCGTACTGGATTCGCGGCGCTCTCGTCTGCGCATACCAACTATTCATCACCATGGGCATCTTCCTCGCGGCGTGCTTCAACTACGGCACGGTCACGCACTACCCTAACAGCTCCGCATGCTGGCGCATCGTCATCGGCATCGGATGGGTGTTCACCATCGTCCTCGGCGTGGGCATCCTGTTCTTCCCCGAAACCCCTCGATACGACTACAAAGTAGGCAAGGCGGAGCGCGCCAAGCAGACGCTCTGCAAGGTCTACGCTGCCAATATGAACCACTGGTCCGTCTTCACCCAGATCGAGGAGATTGAGGCCAAGGTCCGCCTCGAACACAAGGTCAAGCATTCATCCTACAGGGAGTTTATGGGCATGTGGAAGGCGCCGCGCATGGCGTACCGTGTCATCCTCGGCATGACACTGCAAATGTTCCAGCAGCTCACCGGCGCCAACTACTTCTTCTACTACGGCACGACAATCTTCCGCTCTGTGCAGATCGACTCGTACATCACCCAGATCATCCTCAACACCATCAACTTCCTCGTCACCTTTTTGGGTCTGTACATGGTCGAGCACTACGGTCGTCGCAAGTCGCTCATCTCGGGTGCTCTCTGGATGTTTATCTGCTTCATGATCTTTGCCTCGGTGGGCCACTTCAGCCTAGACATTGAGAACCCGCAGAACACGCCCTCGGCGGGTATCGCCCTCATCGTCTTTGCGTGCCTGTTCATTCTCGGCTTCGCCACGACCTGGGGCCCCATGATCTGGACCATCCAGGCTGAGATCTTCCCGACCCGCTACCGTGCCAAGGGCATGGCTCTGTCCACGGCGAGCAACTGGATCTGGAACTTTTGCATCGGATTCTTCACGCCCTTCATCACCAAGGATATTGACTTTCGATACGGCTACGTCTTTGCGGGCTGCAACCTCTTGGCTGCTGCCATCGTGTACTTCTTTGTCATTGAGGGCCAGGGTCGAACGCTGGAGGAGATTGACACCATGTACCTCGAGGTAAGATTCCTTCTTTGTGGATGTGACCACAAAACAAAGACTAACATTTCACAGCATGTCGTTCCATGGAAGAGCAGCAAGTGGCAGCCACCCAGCGCCGAGGAGATGGCGCGTATCCGACGCGAGGCCCAGACCGGTGCCGAAGCGGACATCCTGGACGCCAGCGCGTACGAGGCCGCTGGTACTGGCAGTGACGATGCACTCCGGGGGACGAACGGTGCGAAGAAGGAAGGGAATGAGACGGGCACTGGACTTCTGAGCGGGGAAACGACATCGCATCAGGAGCATGCTTAGTCTAGTTTGAGAGATTTGTACGGGTATGCATGCATGGTTTCGGTGGGTATAGTTTGCATTCTTGGGACACTGGAGCATCTGGTGTATTCTGATATCTTTCATGTCAATTTTATGATTTAGTTTCTCTTGTTCTGTTGTTTGCTTCCACCGTGACTCAAAACATTTCATGACGTCTGCAAACTTGAGATGCCTCTCAGCCTGTGGCAATTGAAGGCATTTGATGTCATGTTCGTGGTGGAGGTCGTGAAGGTTCATTAGCCCAAGAACTCTATCCCCGCCATTTGATCATCGCCAAGCGGTAGCGTTAAATGGAAGCTCTCTGATTGACATGGACGCTAACATACTAGTAAGGCAGTGCATGTGTCTAAGAATATGTCGCAAAGCATGATAACAGCGATACCAAATACACAGCAGACGGCAACTTGAAGCTGACGTCCGCCAGTCCTCCTGGAGATAACTACCGCACTGCTAGGGCATACCTGGACGAGAGTAAAGAAAAGGAAAAGGACTTCCAGTGATTGCAACTGAGAACACGATACATGTTGTAAGACCGTGCAGCGTCGACGCAGCATGTAGACGCTAATGGTCACGACGAAGCAGAGTATGACCCCAGGTCAATGCCCTGCGTGATACGAGACCCAATGTCAAAATGGATTGCCTCGAAGACTGCCTTGTATTCGGAATCAAAGGTGCATGTATGGTTCAACACATCGGGCCATCATTTGAACGGTACAATGCATGTGCTGTCTGCTGGCTGACGTCCCGTTTGACTGGCCCCTGGTCAAGCACATCAGCACGAGCCCGTCTGCGCACAAAACAAAGGGCAACTTGCTGCTGTATATCTACCTGGTAGCTAGACTCCAACGTGTGGAATCAGGCAGAATCGAGACTGCTTCCACGGGAGCACCATTGGTGTTGTCGTCGGATCTCTGTGTTTTCGATGTCGGGTCCCAGACTCCCCACGGCGCGAGATCGAGTCCCGGCTCATCAGCAAGTCCAGAGCACAAGTCAGTAATTATTGGGCGTCAGTGACTTGACCGAACATTTGCAGTGGAAACCAGATGAGAACCACAGTCAAAGACTCCCACCCCTCGCCTTCAGCAGCTTCTCAGCCCATCATTTGCTTGCCCCAGCTTTCTCTGCTCGCAAAACACAGCCTATCTCTTCCACACTGCCCTGTTTTGCCTGCCCACTTCTCCAATACTTGTTGAGATCTTCCTCGCTGAGCAGCACGCAATGGTCGAGACTGATGAGAGCAGCCCTGTGCTGCAGTCGGACGACCCCGTCACACTCTCAATGGAGACGTTCCCCAAAGAGTACAGGGCGTCCATCGAGCGATACGAGAAGATATACGGACCAAAGTCGACAGGACTCCTCAACATCTGCAAGAGAATGGAGACGGGTGCTCCGGAAACACTGTACACATCCTTCGCTAACGAGGACATTGCAACAGGCCAGGCTATCCTGACAGACCACCCCTTGTTCTTCGTCGACGACAATATGAAGGCGACTCCGCACAACACCCAAGTCATCAAGAACTTCAGCGAGACGCTACACCCCATGGGAAGAACCCTGCTCAAGGCTTTGCCCAACGTGCTCCACCGACAGCCCGTCAGCAAGCAATACGCCCTGTGCAAGTCGTATGGGCTACCGATTCGCGGCGTCAAGGTACCTTTTGACCAGAACATGATCCCAACTGAGGGGGCCGAGCAAACAGACAACGTCCTCGGCGTCTTCCCCTTCATCGCACGCTTCATTCGTCACAGCTGTACGCCAAACGCTGTCGCTCAGCCATACGACTACAAGGGACGAATGAGCATGGTCGTGCGCGCCTTGCAGCCGATCCAGAAAGGAAAAGCCATCTTTATCGACTATTTTGATTGCGGAAGCGCGACATATAACGAGCGTCAGGAGATGTCCGTGGAAAAGATGGGCGAGCTGTGTTACTGCCAGTACTGCTGCTGGCAGCATGGCTTCGAGCCACACGCATTTGCGAGTCGCAGTGCGCATGATGTGGCGCGAAGCTCGATCCAGCAGATGCTGGATGACCTCTGCCACAAGCGAGTGACACGGCCGAACATGAGCAGCACGATCCTCAAAGTCCGCGGCTTGATGAGAATTGTCTGTCTGGAGCATGGTCCGCTGAGAATGGAAATGTTCCGAGCCGCGGCTGACCTGTGTCTTCAGGACAAGGATTATATACGTGCCAAGTATTTTTTGAGAATGGCCCTGGAGATCGACGGCCACATAAATGGGCGCGAAAGCAAGCGATGTCGCCTTGCGCGACGCTTGTTCAGGCAATTCGAGAAGAGTCTGCCGTCAGGGGTCAACGAAGAGCTGGCCGCCATCGAGGAGGGTGCACCTCGAGACGCCCTGCAGCAGTGGCTGTATCACTGCGACGACAGTCTGCCCAGGCCGTCGCAGGTTTCCCAGTTCTTTGACCTGCGGCAGAACCAAGATATCATCAAGACCATTGACACGGTACCCTGGAAACACAGCATCGACCACCGGGAATACGTGGCTGACGGCGAGCCCCGCACGCACTGGATGATCATCGTGCAGGTCGACCACTGGGCACCGCCGAACAACCCGTCGTACGGCTGCGTGGACCATGGGGGGAAGAAGCTGGATCTCTGGACGCCTCATTGGAGAGCCAACGAGCACGCGAAGCACAAGAGACTCGGCAGCGACTTCAGCGAGATCAAGGTGGGCGTGGTGCTCTACCCTTTTGCCGTAGGGCACGGTGCGCTGTCCACGAATCCGCTCGTTCACGTCCAGGAGAAGGAAAATTTGACAGTATGTCTGCGCGATTCCCGTCCTCCTACTTGACGACAGACCAGGTTGCTCACATAGATTTTGCAGGTCCTGCCCATCCACACTATCAAAGAGCTGATGGAGCTCAACGACCGCATCCAGCGATACTGCCCACCGATTCAGATTGGCAAGGAGCATCGGAACTGCTTTGGGTGCTATGGCATCTTTGAAAAGACAATGCAATGTTCACGCTGCGGCTTCTTCCGCTTCTGCGACAAGGTATGTGGACCATCTCTTACTTACCAAGTGTCACTTCTGACCAGACGCTACAGGAGTGCTTCAACAAGGCGTGGCCTCGACACAAGCAAGACTGCGACGCATTGTCCGACGCAGACGTGCGAGAGCTGTTTCTCCGTGACTGGCGCCGCTTCGAGGCGCCGGTGGAATTTTCTCTCGCGAGGGAGGACTGGATCGCGTACCAGAACAGGAGGAAGAGGGATCAGAAGATGGTCACCTCCGCCATCAAATACGCCGACCAGAAAAGGATCGAGGCGGCAAAAGAGTTGGCCATGGCTGCTGTGCACAGTATCGTCAGCAACAAGGCCAAGGCTCTCGATGAGAGAAGAAAGGAGAATGAGGAGGCCGCCGTAGAAGGTCAGGCAGATGGCAAAAACGGAGCAGAGCCCAAGAGCAAGCCGAAAAAGTCTAGGAAGCGAAGGACAAAGAAGTAAAGGGAGCAAAAAGGGGGAAGGCAGGTATTGCATGAGGCCATGACTGAATATGAAGATATGCGCTCCTCCGACCATTTGAGACTAATGATAAGGGTATACAAAGGAACAATCCAGCTACACGCTTGCCTTGCGTTGCACCGTCCGAAACTGAAACTCCATAACTCCCATCTATGCATCTCGCTCGTTCTGGCGTCACCCTGACCCTGTGGCCAGCCTAGGGTCGCATCTCCTTGTGCTTGTCCAGGGAATTGGAGCTCGACGAGTCGTGCGACAGACCCGAGTGTGACAGGCCCAAGCCTAGCTCGGCATCGCGCTTCATCAGCCTCGTCTCGTCGTCCTCGGCGCTCATGGTCTCAAACTCGACGGCGACCTCGGTCTCCATGCGGATGCCCCTCTCGTTGGCGGCACGGGACCTCGAGCGCCCGCCCTCGACGGGCTCCGCAATGGACCTGCTGATAGTGCCAAAGGCTTTGCTCTTGCGGAAACCACCCTTCTTCCTCTTCTCTTCATCTTCGTCCTGCATGGGCCGGGGGCGCTGGGCGCGCTGGAAGGAGCTGCTGAGCAGGGGGATGCGGCCGAAGAGCAGGACGACAAGGGTGCGCAGGGAGGGCAAGCAGGCGCAGATGATGCCGACGTTGACCTCAATGGTGGACCAGATGGCAACCTCCTGCTTGACCCAGGTGGCGTTGGGCGAGTGGACGTCGTGGGTGATGAGCGACTCGAGGCGGATGCAGGCCATGACGGTGACAAAGAGACCGACGCAGAACATAAAGGCGACCTCGGCCTTCTTCTTCCAGTCGAGGTTGAGGTTGCGGACCTGCGAGAGGGGGATGGCGATCATCCAGAGGTCGATGCCGATGCTGATGGCGCCGTTGGCCCAGGCGAGGGCGCTGACGTTGACGCAGTGGCCGTGATCGATGGCCTCCTCCTTCCAGCGGGTCCAGTAGTAGCTGATGGGCGTGCACTGGAAGATGCCGGCGACGACAAAGGTGGTGCCGAAGCAGACGACGAGGGCGACGGTTGCCCACAGGTAGCGGCGGACGTTGCGCTTGGGGAAGACGCGGAGGTAGAAGAAGACAAAGGCGAGCTTGATGACGGCAATGTTGGCAAAATAGAGGTTGGTGAAGATGTAGAGGGCGTAGCTGAAGCTGGTGATCTGGTGGAACTCGAGGGTCCAGATGTCGCGGCCCAGGCCGTTGGCGACGCCCATCTCGACGCCAATGGCGGCCATGGGCGCCTGGATGGCTGTGGCCAGGAGGACCATGTAGTCGTCCATGCCGAGGGTGGCGTCGACGACGAGCAGCTTAGCCATGAAGCGCTGCAGCACGGCCAGGCCGGAGAGGACGCAGAAGACGATGGCGACAATGGTGTACGTCTGCGAGTGGTCCCGCACGGGCAGCTTGCAGGCCGTCGACATGAGGTTGCGGGCCAGCAGAGACTCCTTGGTCGAGCAGGTGTTGACGACGCAGCTCGTGACCGCATTGTTGCCGAACTCGGCCGACTGGCACAGGCAGTCGAGGTCGTCGGAGTCGCATGGGGCTTCCTGCGCCGCGCGCATCTTCAGGAAGCATTGCAACTGGTTCTGGGGTCAGTGATTCGTTGTACTCTCGTCTCTCCTGCTGTCCAGCAGGTCTGGAACACATACCGCGCAGTTGGGCATCCGCACCAAAAAGTCCATCTCGCCACTTTGCCCACTACTGGAGGCGTTCTGTGCGCTGACCAGCGATATCATGGCCGCCATGGCGAGCATGAGCCCGGCAAGCCATCCCGTCCTCCGCATCTTGGTTTCTTCTCAATGCTGTGTGACAGTCTTCTCGGTGCCCTTCTACTTCTCAGTAGTCATTAGGTTACGCAAGTAAAGAATGTGGCGTGCGCCCTGATAATACGTCGTGTCTCGTCGAGGGCTGAGACTGTATGCAATGTACCACAGAGCAGAGCCAGCTGGTGATGGTAGCTCCAGTCAATTGCACTGATCCTCGACACTGAAAGAGAGTCCCGATTCCTTCTTCCGATATGAGAGAGGCCAATGGGTGAAGGGTGGTTGGAGGGGGAGGAGAGAGGAGAGGTGCAGGCAGGGTCGTAGCGATGATGGACGAGGTGGGTGGGATGCTGGCCGTCATGTATAATGGAGATGGGCACCGGCAAGCAGAGAATGGTGGGCATTGGGGAGGAAAAGAGAGATAACACGAAGCGACGACCAGTCCAAAACTCCAATCGGATGCCCATGACGCAAAACAAGGGCCTGTCCTGTTGGAACTTGGAGTTGGATGGCAAACTGGCGTCGTCGGGAGACAAGGGCCCTGGTACATAATACTGGCCAATGTGCCGGTCACATCTGAATAAGTCAAGCAAGGACCGCCGCACGTCCACGGCAGATGATCAGAGGAACCTTGACAGCATGCAAGCTGTGTCTGTGTTTGTGTCGTTATCTTTTGGGGGGGCTGTTGGGCGTCTGCAGCCAGCCGTGAGTCGAGGAGGGCAAACGCGAACAAGCAAACGGTAGTCGGGGCCCCGTTGCGCCGCTCCATGGCGAAGCGGAGGATGCTGTGCTGGACATGGCTATGATCGCTGGGGTCGTCGAGTATCAGGATTCACAGTGTCCACCGGCTAGTAATGTGCGTAGTCAGTCATGTCTGGGTGCAACCATCGCCAGCCAGCCCGGCAGTTGTCTGTTGGCACCACGGCGTCGTGGAGGGGTCGTAGCCGAGACTACGGAGGGATGAGTTCGTTCTTGAGGCATCTAGCTGGTTAGAATAGCATGATCTGAATTCTGAAATGCTTTTGAACCCTTTGTGATCGTCGCTGCGCCACGGACACGCATGTCCAGGGTCCGTCTCGAAGGATCAAAAAGCGAGCGAGTGGCCCGCTTCTTCTGGCGTCATTCCGCTGCGAAGGAGTCGATGCTTAATCCGCCAGGCCAAATCGCCATGCTTGCATTTAACCTGACTTTGGAATGGGCGTGTGCAGCGTTGTCCATCATAATGTCAGCACTGAGGCTGATTGTGGTGAAGGGAAGTTGAAGTGAAGTGACGGGGACTGGAGTTCAATCATCACCAAGTACCAAGGTAGCTGACTACCCTGTACAGTAACACGAAACTTGAGCCACACACGCACAGCGGCTCCCCCGTCTGCCACGGTGCCACCGAGGGGATTTCCGAGAGTTATTAAGGTAGGTAGTCTATAGATGATCTTCGCTCTTACGTATCATAGCCCCAGGGCCCGGTTCCGCGTCTGGCTGGAGTCTGGAGTCGCCGGACACGGGTGATGGGGTAGGTCTGTCTCACGTCAATGGACCCGAAAGTCGTGCCTCGCATCGCTCCACAGCGTCCCGTGACCCTCGTCCGTCTCTGCGGCAGGCGGGCTTCGTGGCGTCTGGCTGAGGCTGAACCTGAAGTCACCAGGCACCGTCGTTCACATTGCTTTGTCCGCATGCAAAACGTGCAACCCGCGCAACCTCAACTCAATCTCGATTATGCGCAACGCCCCTGCATCACCAATTGCTGCCATGGGGCATGCAACAACCAGCAGGGTATCGCGAAAACCGGAATCCCATCACACTTGCTGGGCCTTGGCAGATGGAAAAGCAGGCCTGCCTGGTTCTCTGCCCCTGTGTGCGATGGGTGCAACTACGCACTGCAAGGGCCGACGCCATCACCCCAACGAGTCCGTCTGCCTGGGACTGGACTGTATCGAGGCACCAAAAGCTTGGATGCTACCTATATTGACGCACAATGGACATATTATTGCCGAGTCGATGTCCACTCCTGGCCAGGACCTGGCCTGGCCTGTCCAGCGCCCACACCTTGTGCTTCCCAGACTGCATTTGCCACGGAGACTGCCGCACAGGCTGTGTGCCTCGCTAATAACGACTATAACGTAGGCCGGATATTGTTTGCCATCTACATATAAGCTTGAGCGTGATTAGATTTTGGCATATCACCGTTTCGCTCCGACGCTAATACAAGTACTAGTTTAGTTCGGCCGGTCGCTGGATGGAGACGCGGGTCCTCGACTACTCGCACTCGTTGCAGCATTAGGTCAAGGGACCGAATGGGGCATCGGAGATCTAATCAAGTTTTTATCATAGTTGAGGGCCAAGTACGTGTGTACTCTCCTATGTCGATGCCAGAGGGAGATCATTCTCACCCAGTGTCGCTTGGACTACCTCACATCAGATAAGATCAACCACCGCCCTCGAAATCTCCAACAAATCCAAAGTCCGAGAAGCCCCTTTCACCAAATCCAGCCACCCGCACCGCCGCCTCCGGGCCGATGGGAAACCAGAAACCAAGGGTCCAACCGGTGCGCCACTCGTCCCCTCTTCCCCGCCAGGCATCACCAAGACACCAACTGAAAAAAACAGAACAAGAGTGGCTTCGACGCCCCTCGAGCAGCCAAGCTGTCCGGTTTCCTCCTCTTTCGGCACCTGGCGCATAATGAAACCACCCAGAATCTCCGGGTACCTTTTTTTGGACCCCACCGTGCAGCGATAGTCTCGGCAGGCGGACGTGTGGCGCTCGCCATGACACACCAAGCGGACGTGTTGTCCTAATTCGACTTGGGAAACAGGACCAACAGCCTCGGCCCGCGACGACAATGGAGATTCCGATGAACTTTTACACAAGATGGCAAATTTGTTCTGACTCGCGCAGAACGCGCAGGAGGGGAAAAGGGGGCGTCAATGTTCTCCGGACGTCGACTGTATAATTGAGCTTCGCCTCGTGGGCCAGAGTTGATGAAAGACCTCGTCGCACAAACCATCGCCTGCTTCGTTCCAGGTGCAACACACCACTCTCGCTCACCGGCACGCTCATTTCGGGTGGCCACGAATCTGGGTATTTGGGAGTCGCCATCTCCATCTCCAGTCGCCTCGCTTGATCTCGTCAGACCACGTCCAACTCGCCTGCAAACCGACTCGGATTCAGCACCATGAAGATTCACACTATCCTCACCGGCCTCATGGGCTGTGCGCTCGTAACGGGCAAGAAACACCCAGCTCCCAAGCCCAGGTCCGATGCTTGCCGCTGCCTGCCCAGCGACAACTGCTGGCCATCCGACAATACTTGGGATGGCCTCAACAACACGGTCAACGGCCAGCTGATCAAGACAGTTCCCATCGGCTCGCCTTGCCACGATCCCACCTATGATGCCGAAGCATGCGATGCGCTGCAGCAGCGTTGGACGGAGGGAAGTCTGCAGTATGTCTCTCGAGCCGGGACTTTGTGTCCGCCCCATTCTGTACCGTTTCTGACAAGGACACCAGCTTGCCCACTGACTCCAGCCCGATGCAGATGTACTTTGCCAACCAGTCGTGTGACGCATTCACACCCCGCGACCAGCCCTGCGTGTTGGGCAACTACGTCGCGTACTCTGTGAAAGTGTCCGAGCCCAAGGACGCTGTTGCGGCGGTCAAGTTCGCCAACAAGAACAACCTCCGTCTTGTCATCAGGAACACGGGCCATGAGTAAGTTACCACATCCAGCAGAACGCATATTCTTGGCGAACGCATGGCTGACACGTTGATGCAGCTTCTTTGGTAGGTCTACTGGTGCCGGTGCCCTCTCGATCTGGACCCATCACCTCAAGAGCACCGATATTATTCCCAACTACTCGTCCAAATCATACTCGGGCCCTGCGATGCGCGTCGGTGCTGGCGTGACGGGCGCCGAAGCCGCCGAAGCCGCCCACAAGGCAGGCCTCACCGTCGTCGTCGGCGGATGCCCCAGTGTTGGCGTCGCTGGTGGCTACACCCAAGGAGGCGGCCACTCCACCCTCAGCACAGCCTATGGTCTCGCAGCCGACCAGGCCCTCGAGTACGAGGTCGTCACGGCAGACGGCGCCATCCTCACCGCCTCCCCTAAGGAGAACAAGGACCTCTTCTGGGCGCTCAGCGGTGGAGGTGGTGGCAACTACGCCGTCGTCACCAGCGTCGTCGTCCGTGCCCACGAGTCTGGCAACGTTGGCGGTGGCAGCATGCAGATCCTCGCCAGCGACGTGACGCCCGCCACATACGCCGCCATCATCGCCAAGTTCCACGAGCTGGCGCCCAAGATGGCCGACAGCGGCGCAACCATCATGTACATCCTCAACGGCCTCTACTTCAGCCTCACGCCCGTCACCGTCGTCGACTCGACCGGCGACTACGTGCGCAACGAGGTCCTGGGCGAGTTCATTGACTTTCTCGAGGAGAACAACGTCAAATACGCCGCCGGCTTCTCCACGCTAGCTTTTCGCGACCACTACGACCGCTACCTAGGCCCCCTGCCGTGGGGCAGCCTCTCCAGCTCCGACTACCAGTACGGCGGCCGCCTCATCCCCCGCTCCGTCGTCGAGGACGAGCCGGCGAAGCTGTCGGGCGCCGTCATCTCCCTCCTGCCCGAGGGCGTCATCGCCGTCGGCACGCTGGGCAACTTCACCCCGCCCCACGCCGTCTCCAACGCCGTCCACCCCAAGTGGCGCTCGACCCTGATTCAGCTGCAGCTCCTGACCCAGTGGTCCACCAAGCCTGAGGACTGGGACGCCATGCTGGCCAACCAGGCCCGCATGACGAACGACTATGTGCCTAGGATCAAGGCCGTCACGCCTGATGGCGCGGCCTACATGAACGAGGCGGATTTCCACGAGCCCGACTGGAAGAACGCCTTCTATGGAGAGGGCTACGAGCAGTTGGTCAAGACGAAGAAGGAGTGGGATCCCAAGGGTCTTTTCTGGACTCTCAAGGGTGTCGCGAGTGATCAATGGACCGTGGCGGAGGATGGCAAGATGTGTCGCGCTGCGTGACTGTGGCAGTCGTGATAGTTGGGAGAAATGTGCACAGCAAGTCTGAAATGAATGAATCATGATCATCATACTGAATAGCAGAGTGAAAAAAATGTCGCTATTGTACGTGAAAATGTATGTTTATCTTCGAGCATGATGTAAACACAAAAAGGGGGTCGGATGATACACACCAGAATCAACCCGCACCAAGCAGGGTCAACTACTTGCATGTACCTTAGACTCCACCATGCATTACAAGCTAGAACAAATGAAAGATGTGGAAGAAAGTCAAGCACCGCATAGTTGTTGACCTACAAGTGGCGGCGTTGGCGGAAAGTTTGGAATGGAGGCTGCTTCAGTGTCTACAAGGTACGTACTAGCGAATATATCCAGGGCGGCAGTCACAAATTTGTTAGCATGTTCAAGTGTCACAGCCAGTTCATGAGGCATCAGTATGTGAAGAATAGTCTTCTTTTCGTAAAGTATCTGTCTACCACCGGGAGTCTTCATAGGGGAATGGGGATACTATCTTTTTTTTTTGTGGTTTTCCAGGGGGATTTCTTTTGGTGCATTTTCTCAGTTACCTTTTCCAGTCGAATGTTATGACTCCAGATACTCTTCTTAATCGATCACGACTATCCCAGACCTCTTTACTTGCTATGGCCATCGCAGCACTGACTGACTAGCAGCAGGTGGTCAAGCCATATCAGGACGGGTGGGTGCGTGTCGAGAGGCGTCATGCGTCTAACCGCGCTTACCGCAGTTGGAGCAGAGGATATTGCCGTCAGCGTTCTTGTGCTTGCAGCTACCGCAAGTCCAAGCGTTGTGATCAACGGGAGCAGGCGCAGCGCCAGTCTTGGTGGCCTCGGGGGCCTTGGCGGCAACAGGAGTGGTGGGAGACATGACTCCGGCTCGGTGGTCTTTTGGTAGCTGAAAGAGGTGTTAGCTGTAGCTGAAAGAAGTGTTGTCTGGAGTTGTCAGTGCAAAGGCAAGAAGGAACTTGTTGCTTTTGCTGTTGTTGTGTCTTTTGGTTGTTGGTGAGAGGAGAGAGAAAGTAAGTTCAATCCATCCGAGAGAAAGCTGCTTTTATGCGCAATAGTAAAAGACTGAGTGAATCAATTATCCCATTGCAAGGTGGTGTTCGAAAGCGTAGCAAGAGTACAGAGCAGTAACACTCCAGGTTGTGATGGAATCACTGTGTATCTGGCGATGTTCGTGCGTGTTACCTTTGGAAGTGTCCAACAAGGACACGTCAACATCCACGCACGGGCACGGACTTTCATGAACTACCTAGAACAGATAGCAAACGATCCCATATCCAGCTTCGGACATATCGCTTGTTCAGCTGTACTAGCACATGTGTAACTACACTCCAGTTCATTCCCAAGATGCCGGGAGTTCACTGCGGGGAGAAGTCGCCCTCCCTCCAGCTCGAATCGTTCTGGAGTTGGTTCACGAGCTTTCACTGACAGTGCACTATCTTTACGCCCAAAGAGTCACATACTGCACTTGTCATCGATTCCTAGGGGATTCACAGGTATGTAGATTGATGAAAGTACATGATAAGCATATGAACACGAACACAATGTTATCATTCAGCCGTGCTCACCCGATTCCCCGCCGAAACACACCATGGACCTCGTGTGTTTCGACATGGAAGCAAACAGACGTCGCCCAGTAGCACTTGTGCCTCTTATTGCATCAAAATCAGATCATGTTGAGCTTGTCCGCCATGTAAACCAGCTGTGCCGTTATCCAGACTTGGAAGTTGGATGAGCAACCACAATAAGATGCTGCCCAGACGCATCGGGGACGTAAAGCCACGGCAGCTCTTTATCTCATTTCCTTGGCGTAGTGGAGGCCTCTGGTTCAAGTGCGAGCATCTCTCTCAGATTCCACTTCGACCCTGTACGGCCTTTGGATAGGGTGCTGGCCTCGCCATGTGCTGGTGGCGGATTCGGTCCATGAATCACCTCAGTCGGTCGTCCTGCACAACATTAGTTCACAGGTCTGGGGAGACGTCGAAATCAGCGCTCACGGATGTTCCCGATGCCTCCAATGCCATAGCCTCTCAGTTGACGAGCTCTGACAGCAGTCTCCTCATCCTCCGTTTCGGTGCCTGCATCCTGCTCACCTCCGACCGAATTTCGCCTTTGGGAGGCTTCAGTGTTCTTATCAACATCTTTGCCTTTCCCTCCTTCCCTTGCTTTCTTTTGTGACTTGATCCTCGAGGTCGACACACTCCTCACTTGTGCCAGTTTACCCTGTACCCATACTCGATGCGACTTCTTCTTCTGGGGAATGAGTCGACTAGATTCAGGGTCGAGCTCCTGAAGCTGAATGTCTGAATCATCCTTAGAGCGGTATGCTGGCTTTGGGATAGGGAGCATTGCTGCAATGTCATCGAGAAAAGATGGGAGAGCCGGTGGCGGGGTGTATGGTCTTGAACGCATCTTCTTATCAAGCAGTGCTTGAAGCTGTTCTTGGCTTGTAATTGCTTCTCTTGGCTTTGATTGCCGGTTCAGGGGTGCTTACTTGGATGTGTGGCAGGTCTTGAGTTCATCACTGTGTTTTTCAGAAAGGAAGACTAAGTAAGAGACTCGAGGTGATGCATATCAGCCTCGATGTGCTTATCGGTATGACAAAAGCAATGTCACAATGGTAGATGCAGGGAAGACGCCGCTTTAGGCTTAGCGTGCGCGGGCGATTCAGGGGTTCCCGACAATATCGCGCGGGATGTTGCGCATCGCGTGGGTCGATCCGTGACAGACGTCAATGACCACTGTGAATGTGTCATTCTCAAAGAATGTCAATCTCGGCAAGATGATTTTGTCATTAACCTCGTCTTGCACTCGAGTGCAATTGCTCTAATCTTGATCTAATCATGGGTAGACTGTCTCTGACGGTCAGGCACCACAAGTTCACAACCACTGTTCATACATGTCCACCCAGATGTCGCGCCTGATTTTACGCTGAGACACACTTTGCCATTGTCAGGTCGCGGCAGGCTTGACCTCCGAACAACAAACTGCCACACTCGACGAGCGGCGTTCGCCGCGGCACCAGATATGAACCCAGACATAATGATACAGCCTTTCCAACGCCTCGTAACCCTCGTTCCAGAGCGCTCATTGCCTCGATCAACATCCACACCATTCGCTGCCAGATCTCTAGACGTCACAGTCTACAAGGGTGACCGATAGCCGTCCAGACATCAGTAGAACCGTCGCTCTACTCGAACCCCGAACACCCAGGGCTCATCTGGCATGGCCAGGTGTAGTGGCAGCCCCCAGGCATTCTCGTCGATGCTACAAAATTGTACAGTCTCGCGCACCGGGAGAGTCGTGTTGCCTTTGGCGCGCTCTTCAATGTAATTTCGAGCGTACTGCATAGCCCTCAAAGCGTTATATTGTATGAAAGCGGATCGGGTTACTGACATTGCATAGATCGCACAATGCATTTGGACAGCCTCGCGCTGATGTATAGACTCCTAGTCTATGGTTGCGATCTGGTGCGTGGTGAGTGTGAAATCTTTGTCGACGTCTCGTCCGTGGCAAACAAAGGACCAAGAGTAGCGTGGTGTCGGCACAAGATCGATTGTCATCTGGGGCTGGACCATGAAATCGTGCGGCACACCAACTGCTTACTGTTAGCAGGCGGGAAGGAGAGCAACGAAAGCCTGACTGACATGGATCTTCCTCGGGCACCTGGCTGCTGATGCACTGCACCGCAGGGCTGAACGTGACCTCGGTGAACGGCAGCCGAACATCAGGCATTTGGGGACGATTTGTCGGGTCGTCTGGCGACCAGCAACCAGAGTCGAACACGACACGGAGAAAGGCGTTCATGACATCGGCCGTGTAGACATCGCCGCCGAAACCGGCGCGGAGTCCCGCATCAAGAATGCGAAATATCTCACGAACTTCCACCACGGTCAAGTCATCTGGGCCAGCGATCACCCTGACCTTCTGGTCGGAGAATTCTGCCTTGATTTCAGTGCTGAAACGTCGTCGCTTGGCCTCCGGTAGGGTGTTTTGGGGTGGTGCGTCGTGTCTTCCAGCGCGCGCCCAACTCCGTCCCGGAGGCGGCCTAGATGCAAAGCTAAGCTTCACAGGGAAGAATTGAGGACGCCTCCAGTATCGAGGGCGCCGCCTTCGACGAGGCCGACGCTTTGGGCGAGGTTTGTTCGTTAGCTCAGCCGGAAACGCCTCCTCGTGGCGTCTCTTTTTGGAAGTGAATTGCGAGTTGAATTCGGAAAAGGCCATTATGACTGGTGGCGAGATGCTTTGACCGATTGTACTTTGGAAATCGCAGCAACGCGCGTTGAGAGGCGGCGTGAAGAGACGAGAGGCCTAGGTAAGTTCTGTGCTGGGGAGGAGGAACACGGAAGCCTCGTGTGCACCTGCCTTCCAGAACGCACCTGCCTCTTAGTTGATCGTGCGAAACCGTCCCGAAAGTGGAGTGTGTGGTAATGCGCTGTTCATCTGAAAGTGAAGGGCGCACAGCGCATGCACGAAGAATAGCATTTGCACCTAGCACACGTATCTTAATGCCTTCCATGCGAACGAGATGAGATCGGTATTTGTACTTTGTAGCAATCGGGAAGATTTGTTCTTTTACAAATCTACTTGAAGACCTCTTGAGTGGATGCTTTGCCTGTCATTGTCTACTATTCCATGAGCAAGTGTTTGTTCCTGTCGCAGTTGAACAATCAACGACTAGCACAACCGGGGCAAGTTAACTAGTAGTCTAGGACTCGAATGCAGACGAGTGGATTCCTGGGACGCCTCGCTAGGCACACAGACAGCGCTAGACGAAGATAGGGGTCAAATAAGCTATGAAGGTGTTTGCCATTCCATTCGTTTTCCTCTCCTATCATCATTCAAAGCCCCCCCATGATTGCAGCACCACTTTAACGCGCCTTAAAAGGCTGAGAATAGTCAGCACGCATCGCTTGTTCTCATTCCCGTCCAAATAATGTCTCTGAACTGCCCCGTTTTCGTTTGTTCGGGCTCTGGACGGACAGGGCGATAGCTTCACCTGCCAACAAGAGTCGTAATGTAGTCATGATGTTGGCCAGTATACTGCACTCGTCCTTTGCAACTAAAGGTTCACAGTTCCCCAAGATTATTGTAGACTTCACATTACATAAGGAGCCGAATTATCTTGATCCTTCATGAGATTCCCAGCCTTGGAAGCGAGTGCCCGAAGTCGCCCCTCACACAAATGAGAGCGAACCGCGTGGTCTTCTTGAGGACTTTATTTGTGTGGAAGCCCACATATAGCTTCCTTCTTGAGTCAAGCACCGGAGTATTCATAACAATACAGTCCGTTATGTAACTAAGCGTTGCGTCGTCAGTGTTATACTGGAGATGTTTGGTAATTCGGGACATGGTTTAGACCCGCACTGCGAGAGCTAGCACAAGTTCAATGTTGAGCTCAGACTTCATCGATTTCACTAGCTCTAAGACTGCTCTTCTTGATTGCAACTCCTGCACTGACTAGCGAATCGCTGATTCCAGAACGACCACCGTACCGAGACCGGCGTTGTTTTGCCTATCACCACTTATGCTGTGGCTGGAGATGCGTCCCGTCTCGCCGCTCTGACAGCTTATCAATCCCGCTGTGTTTGCAAGCCTACCAGCCCCCAGAAGGAAGGAAGTTGTTCTACTAATAATCAGAATAGGAAGCTTCGTCACTGTGCCAGGCCTCTTCATCAGGCTCCGTCCAGTCCGATGCATCACCCCATCCATTTGAACGGTGACGAGACGAGCCAGGCAGGTTGGCCCAAGTTGGAGTCTTGTCGTCGTCGGCTGGCCACTCACCCGAAATAAGGGGAGCTCGAGGAAAGGCCGTTTTCAGGTGCCGAGACTGCTGGGTTGATGCGCCAGCCTCGAGCCAAGGCGGTTCGTGGAAACGGACGCTCTGCTTCTGCTTGGAATTCTCACGCCTACTCTTGCCCGTGGTCTCTTCAGGCGCAGTTCGCATCGAAGAAAACACGCCACGAGTCGCTTCGATTGGGCCACGCACAAGATTCAGCAAGGGGTATCTCTGCATGACACCGAGCTCGAAATCCATGAAGTGGTATTTGTCGGGACGCTGTGGCAACGCACGACGCGGGTCGATGGTTGTATTGTTACGGTGCATGATCATTCTGCGAATGTACTCAATCGCACGAGCCTTGTTTTCTTTTTCAACCATCTCCTTCATGTCCTTGCCCACTGTTTCGAGGAGTTCCATCTGCTCATGGTGCCCAATTCTTTCATGGTTGAAGATGGTCTCGATTTCTTGAATAGTCAGCTCCCTTCCGCAAACGGTATCGGCATAGTAGAACCGCAGGGAAGGAGGCTCGTAGTTGAGACGGACGCAGTAGGAGGCTTGTGAATCCGTGTTTCCATTGGCTGCAAAAATTTCAGTCCAGCGTCGTAAATGCCAACATCGATCGAGCTACTCACGGTACCAGCCAACACTGGTTTGATACGTGTCAGTGGGCAGAAACGGCTCACCGAGGTTCATATCAGCATGATTGAGCGGCTCAAAGCATGTTGAAATGCCCCAGCCGTCGAAGACCTCGGCCAAGAGAGCCTCCATGAGCGCACCATCAACCACAATTCCAGAGTCAGAAGCCTCGATGGCGCCTTTGACGATGTTGAAGGACTCGGTCAGAGTTTCCGTGGTCAGATCAGTAATACTGTAGATCATATTGCCAGATACTACGGGTTCAGTATCATCCTTGAGCATCAGTGACTTGAAGATTTCAGCACGCTGAAGTCGCAGCTGATCCCAATGGGAATGTTGAGGAAGCTTTGTCATGTTGGCCCCAAGGTGGCTTTGAGATAAATGGAAAAGTAATGTCGCTCAGTAGGGTGTTGAAGTGTGAGACGGATGAGTATGTAGGAAGTTGCTGCCTTTTCTTTGAAGACCTAATGCATGGAGGAAAGTAAATGTAAAAGAGGAGGATGAAGGCACTGAAGGGAGCAATATATAGGCGTATGAAGTGGAGATGAAGATGAAAATGAAGGAGTGCGCCCTCTTAACTTGTGCTGATGGAATAAGGAGCGTAATATGCAAAAGCCTCAGGAGAGTTGATCAGGAGATCGAAGCAGATCAGCCGAAACCAGCCAAAAAGCAACCCGAGTTGAAACTCTAGTCTGTTCCTGAGGCTACACCCAACATCTGTAAGACTCGCCCATACACGACATGATCGATCGTACCGCGGTTCACAAAGACCACAATTAGATATTGAGCACAGACACGAGGGCCTGTATATGGCACCATGACTCCGCCACCCCTGGCTATCGTTCATGCATGGCAGGATGCCTCGTCCTCTGTCTGTAAGAGAACATTTCACGGGAATGTAATTTGATTGATCGTGCATTTCCATGTTATTCTTAAAATATGAGGCCATGTTCAAGCACGAGCCACTACAGTCCGTCTGCGGTATTCGCCAGAGTCCTGGTGGACAAATCCTTGATAAGCCGTTCCAGTCCTTCATTCGCTCTGCACTTGGCGTATTCGAGATGATTTGATCATCACCTGAGGTTATTTCGTCCGGAACAATCGACGTGAAGTCTTTGTCGGCGGTGCTTTGTCGAAAAGCACGGGTGGTCAAGACGTCTCCTCAGCGAAGGCTCTGGCCAACATAGGGTGCCTACATCTTAGATAGCTTGATTACACTGCAAAAGAATCTTGAGAGCTTTGTTGAATATGAACGGTCCAATGTTTGACTTTTCATGGCATGGCAGGCGAATAGCACTGCCCTCTTCTTGTTGTACTCACTCAAAAAGGCCAGGATATTGTCAACGGCAGCCAAGCAAAGTGCTCTGTACCAAGCTTCACAGAAGGGGAGGGCGCCCTGTGACGTTTATTTCAGGAAATTTCCATCGTCCTCCCCTTGTAGCAGCGAGCCAACTCGGGGGTGCTCTCACCCCCCTTTTGCAATCTTAGACATCGGGGGTTGAACCTCCGTACGAATGAATCTACACAAGAAGTCAGTCTCTGCCGCGTGTCAAAAGATTCTTTGGCCTACCGTCTGGTCAAAACACCCAGCAGGCGTCTGGTAGAGGTAAGCGCCCGTGTTGATGAAAAGCTCCTGGTCCTCGCACACGAGCCACGCCGCCTCATTAGGCCTGCTGATCTCCGGGGTGCTCCAGGTCAACGTGTCGCCCTGGAACTTGAATGTGCCAAACGTGTTCTTGGTGGGTTTGAAAGAAGTGGTGAGCTTCCGCTGCGTCAAGTCGTCGGGCTTCTCGACATTCATGTAAAGGGGCTCAAGGCCTTCGCCAATGTTGTAGACGAGCTGGCCCGACTCCAGCCGGAACTGACCTGCTCCAGTGTTTTCGTCGAGATAAGCCGTGCCAGGTGTCCGCGTCGGCTTGGCCTGGAGGTAGGAATGGAAATTGGGTGAAGCGACAGCTCGGACAAAGTAGTGAGATGGGAGGAGGGTGGAAGGGAACGGCGGCAGATCACCACCGCCCGCCTCGCCAGTGGTGGTGGTAGTTGTGTCCTGGGTAGTAGTGGGCGGAACAGTGCCTGTCGGACGGGTCGTGGTTGTGATGGTAGATGAAGGCTTAGTAGTCGTCTTCGTAGTCGCAGGAGCCGTGTTGGGCGACCCCGGGACGCACTGATGGTACCACTCGCTGGGAGTGTCAGACGCTGAAGTCCGAGATGCGTGTTTCATTGTGCAACTCACTTGATGACCTCGCAAGTGTAGCCGCTCACGCAGGTCTTTGCCCCTGTCCAGTTATTGCCGCCGCCTGGGGTCATCAGAATGAGTCCGAGTATGATTTATCCAGCATATATCACGTACATTGCTGCCAGGCGCCACTCTGCGCTGTGACAACCTGCGAGGCCAGGATTGTGGACAGAAAAGGGGCCGCTAGTTGGGAGGTCTTCATTGTGGATTATGAATGACAGCAGTAAGATTGAAGAATGAGATTCAAATTAAAGGGTGTCTCTATACCATGAAGGACGTTGAGTGTCTTATATCGGCATGCGGACGGTCATCCCCCATTTCAAGCCTACTGACTGCCCTTATTGATATTTCCCGAATGCTACCTTGCTCCGAATCGACAAACAAATTAGAAGCCAGCGTCGATTACTTCGGATACCGGCACCGGGATATTGGACTTCACGGAGCGTGGGCTCCGTCGGCCAAGACAGGAACGGGATGGCGGACCTCGTCCCCACGGTTCATGGGTTGGTTGCTTCCATATCCTTCATCGCCAGTCCCGAAACATCTGGTGCAATTGTCGCAGCCTCTAGTTTTCGTTCCTTCTCTCAGAAGATTTTATCCAGCAGAGAGCGTCGCTTTCTTGCAGAAGCAACGGAGTTCTCTCGATCATGCTAAGAGCCATCATGCTGAAAGACTGCTCAACTCTGTGTCTCGCCCTGCCAATTGTAAAAGCTCCTGAAAAAAAGCACAGCCTTCCATTTGCATCGCAAACTTGACGATAATGGTTGCGGAGCATCGAAAGTATGTCTGCGGATTGGGAGAAACGCCAAACGTCTTCGACATAGTGAAAGGCGCTTGTCCCTCTCTGCTCCCTTTGGCATATAGCATTCCGAGCGAAAGCCACAGCACGTCGAAAGTTTTCTGCATCGATATATTCGCATATTGTCTCTTTGGCCTGCAAGAGCATGCGGCGCTGCTGAAAATTCAGATCCGCTGCGGCTCCGACGCGTTTGTCTAAATAATAAGTGACCTCAGACGGGGCCAAGATCTGGGTCATGTCGTGATTTCGAAAGCCCCAGATGAGGCTTAAAGGGGACATGCAGACCAGCAATGTGCAATTCACCACCCGATGATTGTCTATGTGTGGTCAGCCTCTCTACTCTAGGTACTGAATCGATTGACTCCGAAGATGGACTTACTGTCGCTTCCTTCAGCAATTACCACGCGGCCATGCTCCAAGAAAGCGCTGTTGGGTTTCTTTTTCTCAACGACTACGATAGGATCCGCCGATGTCCAGCTGTCCCCGAACAGCACCTCCAGAAACTCGTCCATCAGTCTGCCAGAAGGGCTCCTGGCCTCAGCAGACGGGCTGGTCGTGCCTGGTTCTCGATGGCTTGAAGAATCCATCGCCTTGGACAGGATGCGGAAACAGTCGGCCAGACTGGCACGCGATAGATCGTCTGGGCACTTTACAGCTGGCAACCTGAGCTGCTGAGTCGCGGAGGTGGAGTGTTGCCTTTGCTGCCTCATGCACTCGAAAACGGTGGCATGGCGCTTGTTTTGCGATTCTTCTGTGTCAGAGTCGGTATCTGGAGAGTGTTCTCGTTTCAAGGAGGCCTGTGACATCTTGAAAAGGTGTGTAGAGGCGTAGTACTGATGCGCACTTGTGATGCTGCCTCAAGGATGGTTGTAGGAAGAGAAACAGGGAGAGATTTCGCGCGAGGGCGCTGAGTTGTAGAGAATTGAGAGTGCGGTAGAAGTGAGAGAATGAATCATTTCCACTACCTGGTAGGCACAGCTCACCATATTAAGATGGGCAGGCAAACCCTTTTCATCTCAACTACCGCACAACATAGCTCAACCTGTTCTTTATTCACATTACTCTCCTCACTTTGAATTTGAGTTATTAAAGAATGTGAACGTTGCACTGTGTTTGGCAAACCAGGATGCACCTTTCTGGCAATACAAAGCGCTGTCACACGGGTTCATCATAACCCACCACTGCAGGAGCTGACGATTCTCAAGTTCGGCTGGTTGGAAAAACGAGAAGATTGAATGTCAAGGTCCATGTGCACTCGGACCATAGTCCCAGGTAGGCAGGACAGGCCACACGGTAGAAGCGTAGGAGCATGGGTGGTGTCTTCGGCGAGAACATGAAAGCGCACAGGCGCAATTGGGGTTTCAAATACCGCAGCTCAAAGACACAAACCACGAGTCCCGACATTCAGTTTTGTCGGTCAAGATCAGGAACTGACACGGCACACTGCATAAAGCAGTCGAGTCCGGAAGATCACTTACATGCGAGCCGTTCCATCTCAGCCGCTTATGACCGACATAAATGTACACTCTGCTGCTTCCAGTCACATGTAGAGGCCTGTACTGAGGTCGAAATTCCCACATTGATCAGAATGTCGTTTTGAACTTTAATTTGGCGCGTTCTGCGGCCTTGACAGGGAAAGATGAACGTGTAAGTGTCGGCGCCGGCAGCTCAAGCAGTCAATTCCATGAAGCTCCAAGCCTTGCAGCCGTCTTCTCAAATACCCACGTCCAAAGCGATCGATTTCGAAAACTGAATGTGCGCTCGCCTCTCTTATCAGCATGAACAATGTCAGAAGGCCTGGCCCTAGATTGGGAACCTTGATGACACCTGGCGCGACGACCACGCGTGGCACGCATCGTGAATGCACCACACTGGGCTTCTCGTTTTGCCGCATGTGTTACGAGAAATACTGCTCGGCCATTCATGACGCGCGAAGGTTTCTGGAGACTAATCAAGTACGGAGCCAATGACGAACCGGCCATATGCGCGATGGATAAGCCGGCTTCATCGTCGACCCTGGATTGGGGACCCTGATGGTCAACTTGAAGCCGTTCCAACCACAATGACGGGATCCTTGAAGGACGCAAGAGAAAGCCACAAAGCGAAATACAATATTCTAGAAACCATAGAATAAAATTCAGAAAGGCTAAAACACCCTGGTCAGGGCTTTTCTTCTTTGGTCTCCTCATGCCATCTGCCGAATCTCTTCCTCACATTCTCTCCTGAGGAAACTCTACCTTGGTCATAGCAGTATTCCATTCAGTACTGCTTCATCACACTCACTCAAGTCCTCTCAAGATGGCCGTAGCTACCAAAAAGGAACGCAACAACCCTGGGAGCAAAGGGGCCAAGAAAGCGACCCCCGTCAAACTGCCCGAGAAACCGCTCCCCGTAACCCTTCTCTCTGGTTTCTTGGTACGTGCCCTCACAAGTACAACCGGCTTCGTCTCTGACCGTTCCAGGGAGCTGGCAAGACGACTCTTCTCAAGCACATCCTCACCAGCGACCACGGATACAAGATTGCCGTTGTTGTGAACGACATTGGGGCGTAAGTGGCCGGACCCGCCATCCTTCCTTCCTGGACCGTGCACTGACGACTAGACACACAGAATCAACATTGATGCCAACTTGATCAAGAACACGCACAACATCAAGCAGACCAAGGAAAAGGTCGTCGCTCTCCAGAATGGCTGCATTTGCTGCACGCTCCGCGGCGATCTCCTGACCGAGCTGGTCCGTCTGCACAAGCTCCAGTCTTTCGACTATGTTGTCATTGAGAGCAGTGGCATCAGTGAACCCGCGCAAGTTGCCGAGAGCTTTGACAAGCGCTTGATGGACCAGATGCTTGAACAGTCTGACTCGTTGGGCGTTGACCCTGATCTCATGGAAACGCTCCGATCCATGTATGTCGCCCATGACACTGTCAGAGAACATATCCACTAACAACGCATGAAGCAAGAAGGCGGGTGGCATTGAGCAGTTCGCCAAGCTCGACTGCGCCGTCACGGTCATCGACGCTTTTACCATGCTCAATGAGTTTGACACGCCCGACCTCCTCTCCACTCGCCGCAAGGACACGCCCGAGGAAGATGAGCGCACCGTGTCCGACCTGATGGTCGACCAGATTGAGTTTGCAAATGTCATCCTGCTCAACAAGTGCGACAAGGTCAGCAAGGCACGCCTCGCCGAACTTAAGGACCTGATCAAGACTCTGAATCGGGGCGCTCTCATCTATACGACAAATTTCGGCAAGGTCGACGTCTGGAAACTCATCAACACCAACATGTTTGACCTCGCCAAGGCGCAAGTGAGCGTTGGCTGGCTGCAAGATCTACACGAATTGATCCCTCGCGAGGCATGGCTTTTGCATCCGTCCTTCTAACCCCCTTCTGACTGACTAGACAGATCAACGGACGTATGGTCATCACCCCAAACCCCGAGACAGAGGAGTACAATGTACGCAATTGCGTCTACAAGCGCCATCGACCATTCCATCCCGAGCGCCTGATGGAACTAGTCCATGACAAGTACATTTTGCAACTGACACATGGCGACGACGAAGAAGAAGAGGACGAAAAAGAAGACGACCAAGAGGTCGAGCGCCCTTCTCCCATGGCCCTCGACGTGGAAGCCTCAAGCTCCGACAAAGCTGCCACGGAGGATAGTGTCTCTGATGCTGGATCTCGTCGTTCCCGCGCGGCCACCCATGAAACTATCCCAAGTGACGATGAAGAGGAGGACGAAGGCGACGCAGGATTCGAGATTCCAGATGACGAGACCATCCTTGCCAACCGCCGCAAGCATCCCATCCTGAAAGACCTGCTCCGCTCCAAGGGGGGCATATGGCTGGCGACCCGCCCCGACACCAGAGGCGAGTGGTCCCAGGCCGGCGCCATGCTGTCCATGACCCCTAACGGACCCTTTTGGTGCACCTTTCCAAAGGAAGAATGGCCGGCCGAGCACGGCGAGTTTGACGAGCAGTTTGAGTACGAGATCAAGGCGGGCGGCGAATGGGGTGACCGCGCCCAAGAGATTGTCTTTATCGGTCTAGCCCTACAGAAGGAGAAGCTCGCCAAGTTGTTCGACGACTGCCTCCTCAACGACGAGGAGTGGGAGGCGTGGCAACAGGTGATGCGGCAGGACAAGAGTGTAGGGGAGAAGCTCGAGGAGCTGAATGACCTGTACGACGACGGCTTTCCGGACTGGGACGAGGAGGCGCATGATCATGATCATGATGACGAGGGCGTCTGCCAGACCAACAACGATGGTGATTCGGAGCCTCCCAAGAAAAAGCGCAACATTAGTGAGTACACGAGCAAGCTTGAGGAGGTCTCTTGAAGGACTGGCAGTGCACGGGGAGAGGTAGAGGAGAACGGGGTATGATGAATGAGCCAGTAGGGCATTGAGCTGTCGCTATTCTAAATGATATGATGAATTAATACGGCTTGTTTTCTTCTCATCGCTCTCCCAGTTGTGATTGAATGTCCTTGCCCCGTGAAGAATAGATGATCCTGTGATGAGTCCCGATATGCTCCTTGCTCCCAAATGACCTTTCTGTCTTGAATAATGCATGCCCATCCATGTCCTCCCCAAAAGATTTCACACCCAAATTCGTCTTTCTCGTCAAAGTGAAGCTCAACCCACGTGCAGCGCCTTGATCATGGCTTTGATATCAGCCGTACCCATATATCCCCATCGCCCACCCACGCCACACTTGTACTCCTGCCCCTGCGCCCAGGCCGCGACAACCTTGCGGCCCAGCCAGACGGCATACAGCTTGTTGACGCGGTGCACCTCCCTCGTCACGCCCTCCTCTATGGTCTCCATCAGCTCGGCGCGCCACGGCGGCGTCGTCTTCCACAGCAGCTTGGGTGGCGTGGTGGCCGTCACGCCGAGCCGGCAGGGCATGTATTTCCGCACCGTCGGGGGCGGCGCGCGCGGGTCGATGGTGATATAATTGAGGCGGAGGCTGTTGTCCTTCATGTCGAGCTGGGCCTGGGCGAGGAGCTCACATGTGCATGTGTCGGATTCGTAGCAGGCTTTGGCGCTCTTGTGTTGCGGTTGATTGCCTGTCTCGGTCATTATTGGCTGCTTTCTGTTTGGTTCTTCTGCCTGGCGACTTTCTGTTTCTCGGCCTAGGTAGGGTCACTCACTGCATAGCATGCCAGCCGACACCTGAACTTTAATGTCCCTCAACTCCTCGACGTCGCCGGGGCTGGCCTCAAACTCGTCACTGACAGGCGCGCCACTGTCCCAGTTCTTGAAAATGGCCCTCAAGTAACCCTCGATGCTTTCGTTGGTCGTCGCCAGTGTCGCATCCTTGTTCGTCGCACTACCGCAGGCGTGCAGGATCTCGAAGCAATGTTTCAGCTCGGCCCGCTCGAGGTCGTCGGGGCTGGTGAGAATGCGGCTGATGGTCTGGTCGTCGGGCGCGGACTCGACCATGGTGTTGAAGAAGGCTCTCCGCTCCAGCGCGCCAAAGCCTTGCTTGCGACGCTTGCGCGGATGGTCGGGCGGCGCGGTCGAGGCTGCGCGGCGAAGCGGTGTCTGGGGAGGAGGCATGATTATGGACTCTGCACCGCGAGATGTACGATAGCCAGGTGCATGAGGACCGGGGATGACCACAGGGCCTTCGTCATCCGTGACCTCGACGCTAGGTATGGCTTCCGTTAGATCATAGGCGCCAGCCATGATGCGCGTGACGAAGAAGGCTTGTAGGGCTGAATGGAGGTGGAAGCAGGTGGCTGCGCGGAGGAAGGCAGCGAGAGGTGGTTGTGCGTTGAGCAGAGAAGCAGCGGAGGCATGCAGAGAATATAGAAATGACATGGGAGGGTTTGGTTTGTTGAGAGAGGTGTGCGGACTCGCCTTAGATAAAGAAGGGCGCCGCCTGCAAATGTGCGCCTCCAGCCCAAGGCAAACATCGGATGGGCTGTGGCCATGTAAGATCACAAGTGGACAATACTTCTCTCATGTTGAGTCAACGTTGGTGCGCCCGCTTAAGATGAAAGATTAACGAGCTCGCGCCCTCCTATTATTTCCATTGATGCACCATCTCAACAAATCTGTCGACCTGCTCCGTGTCCGTCGCCCAGGTCGTCAGCAACCTGATCACCGCTTCATCGTCGCCATATCGCTCCCAGACGTAGAATGTGAAATGGTCCTGGAGCACTTTGATCAGACCCAGTGGCAGCGCCGCAAACACCTGGTTCGTCTCCGTCGCAGCAGACACCGTAAAGCCCGCCGCCGCGATGCCCCTGGAGAGAGTCTCTGCTGCCACGTTGGCCTGTCGCGCGAGCTCAAAGTACAAATCCTCTGCAAACAGCTCTGCAAACTGCGCGCCTATCACTCGACCTTTGGCAAGGAGGGACCCGTGCTGCTTGACGTAAAACTCAAACTCAGACGCGAGACGCGGATCCTTGACCACGACAGCTTCGCCCAGCAGTGCGCCGTTCTTTGTGCCTCCGATCCAGAAGATGTCGGTCAACTCGAGGATGTCAGACAGCGTCATGTCGTTGGCTTTGGAAGCTAGCGCCGTCCCGATGCGTGCCCCGTCCAGGAACAGGATGAGCTCGTTCTGTTCGCAGACCTTCTTGATGGCAGCGAGTTCGTCCCTGGTGTATATAGTGCCAATTTCCGTCGCGTTCGAGATGTAGACCAGTCGAGGCTTGGCCATGTGTGGAAAGTGCCAGTTGTCCTTGAGCGCCCTCTCGATGACCATGGGCGTCAGTTTCCCCTGGTGCGGTGCCACATTGATGATCTTGTGCCCACTGGCCTCGACGGCCCCCGTCTCGCGCGTGACAATGTGTCCGGAGCTCGCGGCAATCACTGCCTCGTGTGGTCGCAGACAGGCGGCGATGGAGATGGCGTTGGCTGATGTGCCACTCGGCACAAAGAAGATGCCCACATTGTCGCGCCCAAGATGGCGCCTGATTCTTTGCCGTGCAAGCTCGCAGTATGTGTCGTTCCCGTAGCCGATTTCTTGTGTTGTGTTGCTCGATACTAGCGCCTTGAGCAGTGCTGGATGGGCTCCCTCGCTGTAGTCATCCATGAAGCTGTAGGAGGGCATCCTTGTGGTTGTTTGAGACGGCATGTCGAGGTATTCTTGCTTTCGTAGAGGCTAAGGTGAATGTGAAGACTGGAAAACAACAAAGCTCGCCGTCTAAGCAAGGCCAGATTCCTTAAGTCTCTATACATTGTTCGATCCCCACATACTAAACGTAACACGAATGCGATCATTGGCAAAACATTCGGGTGTTAGTAACTCGGCTGTTAGTCAATCCGCCGCTTGTGGGTCGCTTCTCGGCAAGCCGTTCCAAAGCGACGGCCCGTCGAAAATTTGTTTTGCAGCTATAAATATGGCCTCCTCGTTTGACTTTGGGCGCCATTCTAGTTCTCCAATTCCATGTGAGGTTTTCCTCAGCCTGGGAGCTTATACCATGTGATTACCTGCACAAGAAATCGCTTTGCTGGAATTCATCTTGACCGTGTCTAGGAACCAGGGGACTGGGTGATCATGTTGATCGCATCAAGGGAAAAGTCGATGAAACTGCGGTATGTCTCGACCGTAGAGTGGCTGAGCGGCTTCGGATATGTCAGGATCTTCTGGAACGTGGGCTTCAGCGGCGTCCCTGCTGCCGTGAGCTCGCTGGCCTGGTCGTAGAGCTCTGGGTACTTTTCAAAGAATGCCGGGTCGATCTTGTAATACCCTGCGCCCCTGTCCATGTTGAGCTTGTTGAAGGCCGCACGAGCATACGCTGGGGACGAGAATAACGTGGCAACGTCCGGGGCAGGTAGGACAGCGACCGTCTCATCGTTGTCGGCAGTGTCGCTAGCCATGGTATTGATGAGATCGGTCACTCGAACGTACACTTGCACTGGCTCCGCTCCCAGAACAAGATCGGACATGAGCGCCTCTACAACGTAGCCTGTCACGGCATCGCAGAATATCTGGTCAATGTGTGGGTTGGCCGAGTGAAGCTGTATGAGACGATCTCGAACCGATGGGAATGGTATCCAATCGATGATGAGTGGGTGCGCATTCTCCAGCTGGGCTTTGATAGGCCGATACCTCGGATGTAGCTTCTCGAACGTGGACGAGGATGGGTATAGCTGCCACGCTGTGAGATCAATAATGTGGAAGAAGCGCGTCTTGGCGTACCAAGCCATGACATCCGGTCGGGTCATGCTATTGAACATGGACAAGACCATGAGCACTGGCTGGTATACACTGGAATTGGTCAGGAGGGCATTGAGGGCATTCAAGGATTGATCTTGGCTCACCTCTGTATAGACCCTGACGCATCCAACTTGTTCTTTAGCATGTGCTGAAGGAGCTGAATATGGTCGGAGAACGGTGAATTGGTGCAGGGATAGTGCTTTCCCAGAACCATCCTCGACTGTTCCGTTGCGCTCACAGCCGCCAGGTACGGTTGCATGCCCATTTGGTATTCGTGGCTCCAGATGTTAGGTATCTGTGAGTAGAGAGGACTGGTACCGGCGGGGTTAACGAGGTCAAACCAGGTGCCATTGGTCTCTGCTGCGGATTCGAGGCAGCCAGTCTGTCCCATGGGAGCTTCGAGACCCGTGGTGGTGAGGTCGAATGAATTCAAATCCAAGGGCTGCTGGTCAGACGTTGGCCTATGCTTGACCCGCTCAACAGCAACCATGTCTGCCTGGCTACTTGGCGCTTCATCTCCTTGCGCAGTGCTATCGAGCGTCTTCGTCACAGAGTCGTTGAGCGACTGCATGGTCGCCATCATGCGAGACATGTTGCTCTGGAGATCCACGAGCTGCTGCCGGAGCATTCGGTTCTCCTTCTGCAGAGCCTCCACTCGCTCACTCTCCGGCCGCTGGTCGGCCCGGACCCGGCTCTGGAGTTCCCGCATGCATTCTGCCTGCCTTCGGCGAAAAGCTCGCTGGGAAAGGCGATTGCGAAGCTTCCTGTGAGCTCGCGGTTAGCGACACAACTATGAGGCTCCCAGCCCGGGACGAGGATGAGCTTACTTCTTTTCCTGCTCGCTCATTGGAGCATTGGTGTCACCCCCTTCCGAGGCCTTGGGTAGATCCATGGCGATCGATGCATTGTAGAAGCGCTGCACGTGGTTGCACCAGCTGGCGTCCAATGTGGTTGAGTTGATGCGCTCATCAAAAGTCCACGGGCGGCGGGCCTGGCTGCCTGGGGCCTGGGCGGTTACCGGCGGCAAACCCAAGTCGCGGATTACATAAGGGTCCCTGAGGTATGTAGGGTATGCCAGATGCTAGACTACCCTGCACGGCGTCGACACACGACAATGGTGATTATCTTTCTGCAACAGTCACGGTCCTCGCCATAAAGAGGGTTTCTGTAGTAATTCTATTTTAATGAATGGCTCTTGGTGTCTTAATAAGATATTTCGGGTTATTTGATTATATACTGTGGTGAGCGTAATGTTGTCGTTTGTTAAGGCATGACAAAATGTGATTTCGAAAGAATGCAATATGAACTATCCAAAATATGGTCTTTCTAAGGATCAGGGTTCACAAGAACCTCACCACCCTGCGTCCGCGGTGGCACAACAATCTCCTCCACACCAGCCGCGAGCACCTTGTGCTTGGCCAGCGTGCGCTCATTGCTATCAAAATCCTGGTTGATCACGCCCACCATGCCCTTCTTGCAATGCTCGCCCTTGAGCTGAGGGCAGTAGTACCAGATGGTGCTGTCGTCTTCGACGACGAGTTGAAAGACATGGTCGTTTTTGCCCTCTTGCGTTGCGAACGCGAAGCCAGGGAAGAAGCCAGAGCCGTCTGCCAGGGGCTGGCAGGGGTCGGCGAAGTTGGACTGGGCGACGCTGTGGTTGGCCGGGAGGAAATCCCACTGGATGATGTCGCCGACTTGCGCGACGACATTGGCGGGCTCGAAGTTGAGACCGCCCTGGCCGACGACGACGGTGTGGGTGACGCCTGTGAGGTGCGTGTCTGTGCGGGTAGGGTGGTTGCCGCCTGTCGTGGATGTTGGCGCTGCCAGGGCAGCGGAGAGCAGGGCGGCAGTTGACAGGATGTTCTTGAACATGTTGCTCGAATGGGAGATGCTTAGGATATGAATTGGGGCTGAAGGGTTTATACTGCAAGTCTCGAAGAGAGTTGAGAACGGAATGGTGCTGTCGATGCTGTTGAATCTCATCCGAGCCCTCGACTCCAGTTCTTATATAGACATTGTTGAAATTACTATTAATTTTCATCTTGATGTCGACCTGAAGAAGTTCTGACACGGCAGACGCTCACACAGCCCCCGGACATGAGGCCTTCCGAACTTGGCAGAATCTCACCAACTCTGATCTGAGCATCAGCAGCACCGCCTCGCTTCTAGTCCGGCAATGTGCAAGTAAGTGCAGAGCGAAAGCGGCTGACCACATCTGATGCTTAAAATAATTGATGAGTGGCGCATTCTGTCAGCGCGAGTTGAACCTGGTCAGAATCAATCCTAATCTCGTGATTGGCTATCTTGCAAATATTCACCCCAATGGGGAAAAACGTGCTTATGGATCATTCGGTACGTGCCGCAGGAAACGCCAATACCCTTCGTGTCGATAGCAGTTACTAAAACAGGACTGCATGATTCATGAATAGTAACTTGGCATCGCCCAGGGAATCAAGCAACATGGAACCTGATCACTGAGGCTGGACCAGGCTGCCGATTCCGTGCAATCGCTGCGACGACTTTGCAATGTTCTCATGGCCCCGAGCCTTCTCAGCCTCATACGCCGCCCTAAAGACACCAATATCCTCCTGGAAGAGCGCCCTCTTGTCCGTCCAGCCCGTGACCTTTCGAATCTTGTCGCTGCCCACCCACTGGGGGAAGTTGAACATGACGTACAGCCGAGACGGGAACCAGTCGCCCCCATCTTGGGGGAACGTCGCGCCATCTGGAAAGCCGTACGCAGCAGCCAGTGCACCGCCAATCTCCCCTACCGTCTCATAGCGGTGGGCTGAGATGTTGTACACCTGATTGGCGACAGCAGTGCGGGGCGCATGCTCAGCAAGCGAGATGTAGGCTTCGGCACAGTCGTCGACGTGGCACGCGTGCATCGGTGTCCTGGGGTCGACGGGGATGCGCAGAGCTGGTTCACCTTTGTCGGCCTGCTCTGAAGCGTAATCCAGCAGGGCGCCGTAGTAGCTGCTCGAGTAGCCGTAGACACAAGTCGGGCGAAGGACAATGCCGTCAAAGACCTCTGGGTGATCGAAAACCCGGAGGGACGTCTCGGCACGCGAACGCATTGCTCCAGCCGTCCCGTCGATGGGGCTCTCCTCAGTCTGCGCCACAAAGTTAGGATCACCGTGAAAAGCGCCGTCCATCCCATAGTCTTTACAACCTGATGACCACATCAGCAGGGGGCGGACTCCATTCTCGTTGCTTTTCATAGCGACTTGGCGGAAAAGGGTGATGAGCTTCTGGTAGACCATTTCGTAGTCGGGATAGGATTCGAGACAGTTGACGAGGACATTGAACGTGTTGCTCTTCTCGAAGAGATTGGGCACCCAGGCCAAGTCATCCAGGGTGCCAACGACAGGCGTGATCTCGTTGACCTGCAGGTCAATGGTGGCTTCGACTCGCCGCACGAGTCCAAAAACCCGATAGCCGGCGCGTACAAAGGCTCTGCTGACGGAAAAGCCAATGTAGCCATTGGCACCAGTCACTAGTACGGTCTTGCGGTTGGATTGGTGAGAGGTCATGGTGGAAGAGTGATGTGGCGAGGTTGTTCGTCTTGCTGCTGTGATCGTTTTGTATACTGCATTCGAGTCTGCCGTTCATCTTTTTATAGGCAAAATTTCCCTCGTCTCCAACGTTAATTAACAAGCATGTTGTTGATTTAATAAAAGGCATGTCGTGGCAGCACACAGCAGACCATCTGGTCGGAGTTCAAGTCGTTCCGGCTGGAGGATGCTCAGTAAACAGAAAATCCACTAACGCGCGCTATCAGGCCGTCACCACGAACAGCGCTGATGCTGATAGTTCCAGTTATAGGCGCTCAGGATGCCGTAAAAGTGCAGGGCCGCGCCCACGACGACGAAACAGTGAAAGACTTGGTGCGAAGCACCATAAATGTCGAACCTTTTGGGATACCGCGCTTCGGGGTAATGCGACTATCACGGTCAATTAGCTCTCGCTCTTGATGGATCAGCGTGGCTACTTGCAGCATAGAAAAAGACCCCAGCCATCATCCAGACGCCTTCGAGATAATACCATTTCAATCCAGCTTGCTGGTCAAGCTGGCCGTAGGGGAAGATTGCCACAGCATGAGCAATGGGGGCGAAAGCTGAGAAGCCGGTCACGACAAAGGAGGCCAGCCGGACAGACCGCCATTCCGGGCTTTGCATACCGGGGCTGAGGTTGATGTAACCCGCAATCGTCCCAAGAACGAGAATCTTTCACGGTCAGCCGTAGAAACATGGTAGAATTTTCAGTTTCGTCTCACCATTGCCCAGTAGATAACCTGTAGACGCGGCTCGCAGTAGAACGAGACATAGATACCCGAGACGAATGAGCCCAGTATCTGTATGACAATCGCTGCATAGTCGAGTCGGACCCAGAGATTCGAGTAGTGCTCGGAATGACAGAGTAAAGTGTGGTAGGCGGCGGATATACCAAAACACACCAACGACGTGGTCAAGTAGATGTGGAAGATGAGCTGATCCGCAAATACACTCGACGGCTAAGCTTGTGTGAACCACAAATGAAAAACATAGTTTCCAACCAGGCAGATTGCAGAGGGAACCAGATGTGTGTAAATGTTGACGCTCTCATTGTGCATGTAACGTAGGCTTGCGAAGCAGAGGCGCACAGAGTGCGTGACAGGTCGATACCCATTGATGGTCCAATTGTTGGTGGAATACCATTCGGGCACCTGGTCAGCGGTGAGTAGTTGTGGTGATTTTGACTTGGAGGTTTGTGAAGGTTTGCTCAAGTGCGAGGTGCGCGTAGGAGAGGCGGACTTGGCTCTGACGAGTGGATGTTGGCGATGGTGAAGCGGCATTATGTCAAGTGAGCTGGTGCTCACCTGTGCAAGAATGATAGTATTTCTCAAAGTCAAAATTGAACAATGGTTCGCGGTCTGATGAACGAAGGAAAAGGCGCTCTCTTGTCAATGACGCGTCTTGTTGACCGCCGCGCTGAGGAAGGCAGGGCAGATGAAGCCGTCATGATGCATAAGCGCGCCCACGTGCTTGGCAGGTCTTGGTGTTTTGGCCCTGGCTGGAGATTGGGGTGGGTCAACTGCGAGATCCATCATCCAGCGAGTGCCGCGTGAACCGTCTCGGGCCCTTGTTGGTCAGGTCTCAAGTTTCAATTCCCAACTTTGTTCATTCTTGCCGCCAAACATCCAACCCCTTGCGCTTTCACTTTCTGTACCCTCACCATCACTCCCTTGCACCCATTCCCATGGACCACTCCATACATGTAACGACATGGTGCATGTGTACTTCCCAGGCACCCGCCTCGTCCGCTGCTCGATCGCTGATCGACTGACCCTCTGCTCACAGGCCACTTCACTACCAACGTGAAGTGCGGCGCAAGACGACCATCCACGGGCCCAAGCGCACAAAAAATGTGAGCTTGCAATAATATGGCCACGCCTCTGAAGCGAGAGACATCGGCCATAAATTTCCCGGCCGCGAGACCTATCGACGGGCCATTCCCGTCCCCAGGAACTCAAACCCCTGGCCCCCTAGACAAAGACGAGACATTGTCCCCCCTCGACTGCCGGCGCAAGGTGTTAACAGAAAGGCCATCATCACTTACCACATAACTGGCCCTTTTCCACTGGAAAGAAGATCTCGATCGGAGCAATTTGTCCGGCTCGCTTTCCTCTTCACACCGTCGACAGCGGCTTTCATTTCCTGGACCACATTCCATCCACCACGGCCGCTGCGGTGCGCTGTGGTACGCGTAACGCATCATGGCACGAGATCGCGATGGCTAGGACTCGGCATTGAATGTTGTTGAACAGAGGTTGGAGGGAAGAGAATTCTCATGCCAGAAGGGACGGCGAGAGCCGGCGTACCGTGCGGTGATGCGACTGCAGACGTCAGCAAGCCGACGTGATATCAGGTATAAAGGGCGCTGGTCCTCGCAAGCTTCTTGCATTATTCAACCACCATCTTCAGCATCAACACCAGAGTCACTCTTCACCTTCACTCACTTTTCATTTACCCTCACAAACCCACCACTTCACCCAAAATCCGCCATCATGGTCCGCATCACTCTCGCTCTGTCCTTCGCCACCTCGGCCCTGGCCCTCGTCCCGGTCCCTCGCCAGGCTCTTGATCCCAACGCTGTGGGTGGCATGACCATCGGTGAGGCCGGCCGCGTCTGCGGCTCCAACCTCGAGCTCAAGTGCTGCAACCAGGAGGAGTCCAGCTCTGGCGTCCAGGTCCCCGAGGACCGTGGCCTGCTCGGCAATCTGCTCAACGGCATCCTGGGCGAGGACGGCCTGGGTATCTTTGACCAGTGCTCGCCTCTCTCCGTCACTGGACGTAAGTTCGAACATGCTGGACGCGGCTGAACAGATCAAAGACTGACGGTGAACAGTCATCGGTGGCACTGACATTGTCAACAACCACTGCCGCCAAAAGGTTGCCTGCTGCGACTCCAACCCTGTTGTGGTAGGTTATGTTCTCTCCATGAACCCTCCTGATCCTTGCTGACAAGTCTAGTCTGGTGGCCTCATCAACCTTGGTCTCCCCTGCATTGCCATTGGCGGTATTATCTAAACTTGATTTGTCTGCGGGCGGCCGGGGATGGCCTTTTGGTGAGAATATATACGTTAATTGGATTATCGTCAGAAGCTTTCTTAACTCCAATGGACTCGTGTTAAATCCCAACTGCTCGTGAACTTGACAGGCTACTTGCCTCCGATCAGACTCGCGAAATAAATTGTACGGGTGGTACCACAACAGACAGATCACTGCAGCTTCTTTTCTGCGGTCGAATACTCCCTCGAGTCATCGCCCTCTACCACCTTTTGGAGACGCTCCATCTCCTTGACGCCTGACTGCCAGGTCTTCTCTGACATCTTCGTCTGTTTGTCGAACCACTCAGCATCTGGTTTTCGGTAGCTGCCGCCAAGCCTATCCCAGACTGTGAGAAACTGGCCGTAATTGTAGCTACTCAAGGAATTAGTGCTTCTTCACATGTATCGGTCACCTCGCACAACGTACTTGAAGTAGAGATGATGCGCAGAGTGGCAGGCAGACCCGTTAATGACCGGGTTGTCTGTGATGTATTCGCCATCGTGGATCATAATCGTCCACAGGTTCACAAACATAAACGCCGTAATGAAGACGAACTTGTGCATCGGGAAGAGCATCGGAAACAGATGGTAGGGCGCAGACTGCGCAAACCCATCCAACGGGTGGAAAGCATAACTCGCGTACGGGGTCGGCATGATCCACCTGTGATGCGCCTTGTGAAGCCACTTGTATATCCTGGGGTGATGGAGGCCGCGATGAATCCAGTAGATGAGCGCGTCGGTGAACAAGATGAAGAAGAAGATCTGCGCGTAGTCGTACCATGCCCCTGGGCCTTCTGCTGTGTGCCCGTATAGGCGAGTATAGCCGCGAACTTCGAGCAGGAAGACCATACACGTGGGAACTGAGATCCCAGGCATGGCAATCAGTGCTTTCTTGATTTCCTGGCGGATTTGGTTCTTGAGATACTTGGGGTGCTTGAATGTGGCTTTGTCGAAGACGAATACGTACGAAAGTGTGGCGAAGAAGAAGTAGTTTACCATGGCAAACACCCTGTTGATCAGCTCAAATGCTCCAAACTCAGGGAAGGGCGAATGTACTCACCATCCCAGGAAGAAGAGTGTGAACATCTGACGCCAAACGTTGTCTCTTGACCAGACGCTTTCGTATGCTTGTGCCGCAGGCTCGAGGTGGAACAGATGCGTGCTCGGTCTATACTCCCAGTTCGACGTACGCTGGATGGTGCCATTGCCGTAGTTGCTGTAGGCGTCAAAGGGTAATTGCTGTATTGGCAAAGCCCATGCATAGATGCGATCCGCCACGTAGTGATCCACGACTTCGAGAACAATGTCCATTATTGCAGTGAGAATTCCTGCTAGACTTTGGAATGGAGAAAGTGCGGTCGAGCGTGCACACAATGGGCGATTTACGAGGCGATATACTTCCAAGTTCCAGGCAGCAGATGATAGGTCCCAGCACAATGTCCTACTAGCGACTGGAGCGTCAATGGTTGCCTGCCTGTCTCGGCGCGCCTCGTACGATAAGGGAAGAAGGCCAGTGCTTCTGGTGCCGCGTTGGCTGCCGTTCGGCTGGGAGTATGTCCGGATGCATGCATGTCGCCCAGGAGGGGACAGATCGTACGATATCTGATGCGGCACTGCGCATCCTTGAGCAGGCCACATGGCCATTTGGGGAAAATCAGGGGGGACAGGAAGTGATCTGCAATTGGATACCTATAGGCTGATTATGAAATTGCAGTAGTATGTCTTGTGGTTCCTTTTTACTTTCATCATCTGATACAGGAGCCAGGGAGTGAGCTGTTTCAGAGAACAGTGCTCACTATTCGGCTGAAAATGACAGAAAAGGGGTCGAGCAATCCCTTTCTTCTACTAGCCATGTCACTTTTGCTGCATCCACAAACGTAACGATCGATCTGATAATGAATGAAGCAAGCCGGCAAGCGATCCATGATGTTGAGTGGCGTTTGCTGGCACCGCCCGATCTCAGTTCCTCGTCAAGGTATAGTTGTAGTGCCACCCTTCTTTCTGCATGTCCTCCCTCACCTTGTAGTTCTCCTCTGCGACATCGAGCACCGCCATGTCAATCTCCCTCACGAGCATGCCCTCCTCGCCAATCTCAAGTCGGCCCAGGCAGCCTTGCACCGGCATGGTGATACTGCTCAAGCCGCCAGCGTTGGCAAACGCAATGGCGGCAGTGTTCTCGAATGCCCTGCATTCTGTAGCACTTTTGATGAAGACCGCCTCCGAACTTGGATTGATAGCCAGGGCCGAATCCGAAATGTCGTTGGGAAACCACCACGAGGGAATGATGATGATCTGCGCGCCATCGGCAATCAACGCTCGAAACGCCTCCGGGAAGGCGAGATCCCAGCAAATAAGCATGCCAGCCCTGACAGGCCGACCGTCCTCGCGCCTCAGATTGGTGTCAAAGGCCCAATGTGGCTCGTCGCCCGACGAGACGAGATGGGGTCTTTCTGGGTGCCACAGATTCTTCTTCTGATATTTCCCAGAGACCACGCCAGTTTCGCCGTTGATAAAGTGCGCCACGTTGCCTATACCTTGCTCGTCGGGCGGGCCGGTCTTCTCGCAGATTGTGCCAGGGACAATACTCATCTTCAGTTCGAGAGCGAGCTTCTGATACTCGTCCAGATACCGACTAGATTCCATAGAGGCGAGGCGAAAGCCGGGGTCCTCGGGAACCCACGATGTGAGGTGAAACTCAGGGAGAACAGCAATATGACAGCCCGAATCAGCAGCCTGTCGAAGGTACGAGGATGCTTTGGCAAAGTTGCCTTCAATGTCCATGGCCTGGGAGTGGTCAGTTAGATACGTGTCTCATGGAGTAGGAATTAGTGACTAACCTTGGGCTCAAACTGGATCACCGCGATCTTGAACGTTGGCGCCATGACTTCTGCGGCAATTTCTTTCTTTTTAAAATGATTTTTGACCCGCCGGTTTGACAGCTACACAATGAGGTTGTGTTCTTCTCCAGACGACAGTGTGGTGATGATCGCGCTGTCGTCGTTGACTTGTATAGCGTCAGAGTTGAAGACTATATGCGGCAGGCCAAATGCGACGGAAGATGAAAAGTCTCGTGATGCTCAAGATTCGCTCTTAGCTGTGCTACCTATTCTCGGATGAGGACAAAGTTGAAAGGCAATTGCAGCAGACACGAGAGCTGGACGCGGTGCTGCGGAGGTGGGTGGTGGGCGGGAATAAACGCAAAGGGGTGACGCCACTCTCACCTCAGCCTACCTTATGTGAGTGACTCATCACCACCGTAACTCGAGGACCTCATTCCACCAAGTTGAAAAGGGGCAACTTTGATGGCTACAAAACCTATGTTCCTTGAGGAAGCATCGAAGCTGCATGGACATGACACATCCTCCTGTTTCTCGCCCAGTCATGATCACATAGGTACGTTGATCCGACGTCAAATGAGACGCCGCAAAACAGGTCAGTGGAACGAAATCAAGATTAAACTAATTCTAGCGTACATCGTCGTATACAACTGCGTTCTATTTCTTTTTGTCCCGACTTTGGAGCTGACGAATCTTGTCTCGTGCTTGAGTAAGTTGACACCATGCCCTCGACCCGACACGACTAAGGTGGCAGAGCCCCTTGACACTAGCAAGACTACATCTAATTGATGAAGTTCTCCAAAGCATTGCGCAGCCCCTGCGTAGCGGTCTTGAGGCCAGTAACATCCACGGTGTCACTGGCAGAAGACTTGCTGACAGCGTCCGCGAATTCGACAATCGTGCCAACAAAACTCTCAGCTGCATCCTTGACAGCGTCAACGTCCCCCTGAACATCCTCCATCATAGGGGGCAGGGGGTTGGTGTCAGTGCGTCCGATTATGTCCTGGAAGCTCGTAATGTTGTCCTTGGTGGTGGTAACAACCTTCTCGAGCAGATCTACCTCCTCCTGAGTGAGGCCTGTGGCATTCTCGGTGACGCCTGACGTGCCACCAGTGGTAGACTTCTTGATGGCGTCGCTGCCAGCCTGCAAAGCCTGGCGTATCATCTCGTAGGCGCCCTTGAGAGCCTCGGGGTCCCCGCCGGCGCTCGCGGCATTGTCAACCGCTTTCTTCACGGTGTTTTCCGACTCGGCAGCCTTATCCACCAATCCCTTCAATGCGGGCGATATCTCAGGCAAGTTGTCCGCCATGTCTTGGAGATTGCCAATAGCAGTCTGTTGCATGTTGCCAGGAGCAGGCTGTTGCATATTACCAGCGGCTGGCTGTGGCATGTTGGCGGCAGCCGTCTTTTGACGAGCGGCAAGCTTGCTGGGAGCAGCCAAAGCCAAAGAGGCGAGACCGAGGACGTTGATAAACTTCATGATGGCGTTGATGAGATAACTGCTGTTTGTGTCTTGAAATGTTGAAAGTACTGATGTTGCTGATGCTGATGGAAAGCTGGTTCGGAATAACAGTGGCATCAGCTGGTTTATATACACTCAGTCAACCTCCTACATTCGAATCGAATCATCCACATCGGGTGTTCAATCCATACAAGGCATGATTGTGCTGGAACGACCGATCTCACCTACGATGATTACTACACGGTCGCATTTCTGTCAGTATCACACATTCCATCTGCCTTCCCAGAAGGCCCAAGGAACGTAGGAACAACAAGAGAGATGAGAGGTTCCCGATGATCTGCACTCACTCAACGTGACGTGACATATTGCTTGGTTGACAGGACTGTCTCTAGACTACATGATACATGACGAGCTGCAGTTTGAACATCCTTCACCCCAAATTCCCCAGATCCTGGGCTGACGAAATTATGTTCCAGATTACGCATTACCGAGACAGTGGGTAAGACCCTTTCTCGGCAAGCCGCGAGTGAGACAGGGGAAAGCCAATTCCCCTGGATAGTAATGCCGTCAGAATCGCCAATCTACATTTCGGGTCTCTCTCATTCAAACAAGGTTATTTTCCTAGGGGAGCAAGATACCCCTTTGACCACGCACGCTCAACAACACACTCAGTTCCTCGCACGTCATTAGTTGTCAACACTGGCTACATGTAAACTAGAACCCCCTGGCCAGATGAGCCATGACTCTTGAGTACATGTGCCGAAAGTCATGCAGATCATAGTGCGTCATTATTCATTCCAAAGGAACCAGCCCTTGGTCAACCTCCTATCTTGATAATTCCCGCGGCCCGCGCCCATCGATCGAAGCATGCAGCGCTCTGTCATCACAGCTTCTCCAACGTCGCCAGGTCGATCTTCGTCATCCCCAGGATAGCCTCGGCCACCTTGGCTGCCTTCTCTCCTCCCGCTTCGCCCATGGTAGTCCCGAGTCCCCTCGGGCTGATCTGCCAGCTCACGCCGTATCGATCTACCAGCCATCCTGCCGCCCTTTTCTTCTCGTCCCCTCCCTCGCCGAGCCGCTCCCAATAGTAGTCTACCTCCTCCTGGGTGTCGCATTCCACCTGGAAACTGACGGCTGGAGTAAACCGAATTCCTTCGCCGCCGTTGATGGCCACAAAGGGAGCATTGTTGAGTGTGAAATTGACTGCAGACGGAATGGGCGACGAGGGGAAGCGGTGAACTTGTGTGATGGACGAGTTCTCAAAGATGGAGACGTAGTGGTTGGCGGCCTCTTCAGCGTTGTCGTTGAACCAGAGGTTCATTGTAATTATGCAATTAGGCATTGTATCTGCAAGATTTCGAGTGATCTCGAAAAATCTTCTCAATGTGCGTGTTCTGGACCAGGTGCTGTAGCAATATCGTCTCAAAAAATGCCAGGAATCTGAGCTTTAGGGACAGAGAATAACGAGATTATTACAAAGAAGAAAAAAGCGACCAGCGCCTGGAAAGATTAACCAAAGAATTGAGTAGTGAATTGTTCCATTTGCGCAACACAAAATGATTACCAATTTCCTACTTATATCTCTTACACTGAGGCCATCGCCAAGATATTCCGTGGGATCGTCACGGCGCCCTTTCCGTACGCCTACGGAAGAACCCATCACAAACAATCCGACTGGCTGCTTCGCGCTTCTGATACATCCCAGCCTGCGCCGTGGAATGTTCTGAAACGTCTGGAATATTTCGGGAAACGATCGATCGTCCTACAAAACGTGGTAAAGGCGCATGGAGACCAACCATGTGCTGACGCCGAATGGGATTGTACCAAACCAGCCTTACCATCAATAGTCCTGCAGGAGTCTGCTCTGGGGAAGGACCTAGCTCGCCCACAGTGCTCCCGGGCTGGTCTAATAACGTCAGACATTGTATTGCAGAAATCTTGACAATGATCGTCCTGAGTTTGATATAGTAGTTCTGCCCTAAGAGGTCATTAAAACTTCCGCGATGCCTGTACAGGTTAATCATAACCCTCTTTGGGCGAAGGGGGCGTCGCTTCTAGCGCAGGACCGTTGAGCGGAGGATCCAGAGCCCCGTAGATTCAGGCACGGAGACAGACGAAAGACCCCATGAGCACTATCGGCAGTCACTCGACAGGCCTTGCGTCGTTTCAAGAGCTCGCCACAGGGGCATCACCAGCTGACAGCGACATCAGCGACAAGACGAGGGTAATGATACATTTCCAGGGGCAACTGGTCGATCCCGCCCAGCAGGAACGCCGCCAGTCCTGTCGTTAATAGTAATAGTACAGCCGAATCGTACAGGCGTGGTACGCCACCAAGGATCACTCGTCCCTCCGCATAGAGTATCGTACAAAGTGCTCCAACTCTTCTAACCTCCCCGTCAAGCTGGCGTCAAAGGGTGCCACTTCTGTGATGGCCTTGGCGAACGGACCCTGGAGCCCGAGCTGGCAGCTCGCCACGTGTTGCCGTATCTTCCCCAGCAAGGCCTCGGCCTTATAGTCTGCGTACAGACCCGTATTGTGCATTTCCTCCAACAGGTCGAGAGCCGAAGATGCGTCGCCAAAGCGATTCCAGTGGATGGACGCCAGGTTGGTGTAGAATGACGTCGACACGCCCAGAATATAGGATGTCAGACCCAGGGATTTGACCTGCGGCAAGATCTGAAAGGTGTAAGGCGACGGTATGGCAAACTGCGTGTTGAACAGCTTGAGTGCGTGGAGAAGGTAGTGCGAGTACAGCGCACCGTGGATGTCCATGATATGTTCGTCGTCCTTCTCTCCAGCTGCCTCGCTTGGTGTGGTTGCGACCGACTCCTGCTCCGCAACCTCCTGCAGTTTGGCCTTTTTGCCACCACGCGTCTTGGTCTTTTTTTTCTTCTCGCCCTGCGAAACACCGAGTTTGCCCATGAGGCTAAACACCTCCCTCTCCATGACCTGCCACAGCTCAAAGTCATCCTGGCAGGCCTCCATCTTGGCCTCCATCCTCTTTTTCTCGGCGTCCCGCACTTCCTGGTAACGGGCACGCTTTTCCCACAGCAGACGATCCTCGGGGGACATCTCTTCCAACTCCGCCTCGCTCGGGGTCTCAAGAATGTTGAATGCCTGCTTGGCCGCGTTGCGCACTGACTGCGGGAATGCTTCCAAATACTTGTTGCGAAATTCGGTCATTCGCTCAGGAGCAGCTTTCGATGTCATTGCGCCCGACTGGAGAATGCTGTCTGCGCCACCACCTTCCGCTGGGGGCGTGGATGGGCGCCGTGGCTTGGGCATGTTGCCCGCCGTGATCTCGTCGAAAATGTTCTTGAAGATGTGCGCTTCGCTCGGCGAGAGTGTTCGATTGGACGCCTTAAGCGCTTCGTGCGTCATGTCGCTGCCGGATCGCCATTGTTTTTTCGCCGATGTGCCATGCCCAAAATCAAAAGGGATGTTGCCCTCGTCATTGTCATCTGCTCTCGAGCTGGCGTACCGCACGATCGACCTCGCCGTTGGCAGGCGCCATGCCCTCTGTATTGTGCGGGTCTGATACAAAAAAGACAAAGACATTGTCGCAAAGTGTATTGCAGTTGCTGTTTGCGAAATTTCGACGTGCGACAAGCGATGGTGATGGACCCTGAAGAACGGGAAATTTTGGATTACATAAGCAGAAAATGCAACGCAGACGCGGTGACGCGTGACTTCGCGCGTCAAAAGTTCACGGTCATTAACGCGCTTAGGCTGCCGTGCACGGTGCACGTCATAAGTGAATGAGAGAGACCCATCCCCCAAGCTGCTCTCACTTTCTGCTGCGCTTGCTGTACTTGACTTTGACCAATTCTCGTTTACCTTTCATATTCTTATTCGGCGAATCGATCTTTGAATTATTCAGGCCATCGTTGACCACCAAAATGCCCGTAAAGAAGGAACAAAATGGCGGCATGTCCGTGTTCGAACGTCGTCGCCTTGAGAACATCAAGGCGAACAGGGAGGTCTTGACTGACATTTCGAAAACGGCCAAAAAGGTCATGCCGGAACGACCTGCTCCAAAACCCTCTGCACCCAGGACAAAGAGAACATCCGACGTCACACCGACGAGAAGGAACACTCCCCGTGCAACAAGAACAAGAACGAGTTCGCGGCTGGCGGGCCTAGATGCCGAAGACGAGACGCTGAAGAGGAAGATGGAAATTGAGACGGAGCACCAGGCCATGCAGGCCAAGGCCAAGAAGATGCGACACAACGGCGAACTCAACTTGGGTGATATCGCCGTGGAAGGTCGGAAGTTTGGCAACGGCGTTGCCGGCATCAAGGATCTCTTCCGGGGAGCTGAACCGGGCGTGAGGACATTCACCGAAGACGATGTGACGGAGACGACCGACAAGTCGCTTAAAGAGTTAAGGGGACAGATGAGTGCGCTCGAGTTGTACGAGCATTGGCTTCCCAATGGTATGATTTCTCCGCCAGCCTCCTTTGCCCGCAGACAACTGACTTCCTCTCAGAGATAAAGATATGCCCGCAGCGTATCTACTCACTCGGATTTCATCCTACTGAGGACAAGCCTGTGGTATTTGCCGGCGACAAGGAAGGGAACATGGGCATCTTCGACGGATCCCAGGAACGTCCAGCCGAGGACGACGAGGATGAAGATACCAAGGAGCCCGATCCTGTGATATCAGCATTCAAAACCCACCAACGCACTATCACAGGGTTCGTATTCCCACCAAATGATAGCAACGCAGTATACACATCGTCCTACGACTCGTCGATCCGGAAGATGGATCTCGAGAAAGGCACATCCGTGCAGATATGGGCGCCCGAGGACCACGACGAGGACCTGCCCCTATCGGCACTGGACATGCCCTCGAACGAGCCGAACATACTCTATTTCTCCACGCTCAGCGGCACGTGCGGCCGATACGATATCCGCGACCCCAAGTCCACCGACATTTGGCGTTTGTCTGACCACAAGATTGGCGGGTTTTCACTGCATCCCTTGCAGCCGCACCTTCTTGCTACAGCGTCGCTTGATCGTACGCTCAAGATTTGGGACTGTCGCAAGATCACTGGCAAAGGCGACCTGCGTCATCCCGCGTTGATGGGCGAGCACGAATCGCGTTTGTCTGTGTCACACGCCGCTTGGTCCGCAGGCGGCCACCTCGCCACCTCGTCTTACGACGATACCATCAAGATCCACTCCTTCCCGGAATGCTCGACCTGGAAAACGGGGCACGACATCACCCCTAAATCCATGGCTCCCGCTCACACGATCCGTCATAACAACCAGACGGGACGCTGGGTGACGATTCTAAAACCTCAATGGCAGAAGGCGCCACGGGATGGCATACAAAAGTTTGTCATTGGCAACATGAACCGCTTTGTGGATGTATTTGCCAGCGACGGCAGCCAACTGGCCCAGCTTGACGGCGAGGGCATCACGGCCGTGCCCGCTGTCGCGCATTTCCATCCCAGCCAGCGGTGGGTCGCTGGCGGCAACGGGAGTGGGAAACTTTGTCTGTGGCGCTAGACGAGAGATTGTGGAAGAGATTGGCATTGAGTATGCAATTTGTGCGCGGCGTTTGAGGGAACTCTGTTTGTTAGTCGATTCTGGACTTGGATGCATACCGAATTAGCTCGGTGTATATGTTTGAAAAGGAGACTTGTGAAGGGACTTGACCTCGGAAGATGAAGGAGATCACGGAAGCGGTTTGGAATGTAAATCATTATGGTCATATAAAGATGATGCCACTAGGCGGTCCCGTCAGAGAACGTCCCATTGCATGTTCCACGGCTCACTGCCCTTGCTCGCATCGACACCATGCTTGTACGCACTCATCAGTTCCTTCTGATCGACGCCGCAGTGAACCTGGCCATCTCTACCTTTGAACCAGCCCAGGCCGTACGTCGTGCCGTCGTCGAGGCGGTCCTCCATTTGCGCGTTGGTCAATTTGCTCGTCCCCACAAACTTGTACACCATTTTGCTTTGGTGGATGAACGCCAAGACAGAAGCAATGGTGCTCGGCTGTCGGGGGAGGAAGGGATGGCGCCGTCGCACAAAGACCATGGTCGAGACGAGGGTCATGTATAGCAGGATGAAGAGCGCAGTGGCCAGGGATACGAAGAAGGACCGTGCCGTTTCTTGGCCAGACTCCATATCGTCAGGATCGATGCCAGAGTTGGGCATGAACTCCCTGCCACGGACGGTGGCGAGTCCGGAGACAAGGATGGTCAGGAACTCCGCCATGACAGTGCCCCAGCCGAGGAGAAACATGATAAAGTGCCCGTTAAACAGCGCTCGCAGCGGCATGTACGCAAAGGGCAAGGCTGTATAGTCCAGCGTCAAAATCTTGGAAGGGGCGTGTCGCTTTGAGAGGATGTAATATGGCTCCATCATCCTCACCGCTGTCTCCAGACCTGTCCAGCCGAGTTTGAGACCAACCGCCATGGCAGTCACTAGCCAGGGTACCTTTTCAGTGACTACTTCGGCTGGCGTGAAGAGAAACGCTGGTATGAAGCCTGTGAACAATACAAGGGCGGTGATGAAAGGTATGCTCGCCGTCGCGCGGAGCATAGCTGGGTGTGGATTCTGGGAGAAATGAGTCCCCTCGTACTTTTCCCTGTCCCGACTCGATGCCGGATTCTCGTCGTCTGGCGTCAATGACGAGTTCCGCAACAAGTAGCGATGGTACTTGAGCTTGTGATGTATGTCCTTCGGCTTGGCTGTATCGAGGTCCTTGAAGTCCATTAGAATGTGGCTGACCACAGCCATAGATGCCAGACCAGCTATGCCACGGACATCAGCGACCAGACCTGTCCGTCTGGTCTGTAACAGGTAAAAGAGCCCCAGTCCGCCGACGACGTTCAGCGCCAGCACGGCCGTCAACAAGTATGTGAACACGGGTGAGAAGTAGATCTCCTGGGCCCCTTCCCTCCTCCCCAGCGTCAACGCTGCCGCTGCAAAGGTGGGCACCAGCGACACGGCGAACGTCGTCGCCGCGCTCGACAAGGCGACAGCGTGATGCCCAACCTTCAGCGCGCGGAAAGGTCGGAAGAAGCTGAACATTGTGACATAGTCGACATTGATGGACTCGGCAGCGAGCGCACCGCCTGGCTTGGACATTTGGAAGTACGCTTCTAGCCGTCGCACTTCGAAATCGGTGAACTGCCACAACACGCCGTACACGACGGCGACAATAGTCGGTCCAAAGCGCACAGTGAAGTATATACCCCCATCGACTTCACTCGGGCTCTTGAAACGCAGGATGGGGTTGTCGCGCGTGTACATGTGGAAGAGAACCTGTATCATCACAGCGAGCCCGATGGATAGCAGGATGAGCATGGTAAGATACGGCCAGCGCATCGAGAAGGGTTTCCAGTTTGGTTGCGGATAGAAGATCTGCGTCGTGGCTGCTTTGCTCAGGTTGAAGGTGGAACGTCGCGCTTCGTCCGACGCGATGCCCATCGGTCCCTCCATCGTGCTCAAGTCGGCGCCGGCTGGCTCTTCGACCACAACCTCAATCACCTCGCCTAGGCGGTTCGCTTCGTCTTGGCCAGCATATCTGATCGTCTCGACTCGTCCCAGTCGTTTACTTGACATTCTCCGGGTGAACGATCGCGAGAGGCTGCGCTGGGCTACTGTCGGAGAAGACAGGAGATCAGCGTCGCTCACTGTCGTGTTCGGTCGGAACCCGAGGCCAAGCCCGCCAGTCAGTCTCCCCTTGGCCTCCTGAGCTTCGAGGTTGCGCATAAACGCCTCGTCTTGTGCGCCCATGGGGCCCAGCGCGGACCCCACGTCGAAGCCTGGAGCGATAATGCGATCCTCATCCAATACGTCGGGACGGCCACCCATGGGCGCCGCGGCTTGCATGAGCGAAAGGTCGAATTCCTCCTCGTCAATCGTATCCGTGCCTGGTCGGCGTAGCGAAGTCCCTATCCGCGCCCTATAACTCGCCTTGGACGGTGCTCTCGATGGCAAGGGCCCTCCAACCGGCGCGTACCCTGCGCCCGATGCGCCAGTATACCCCAGACTTCCTGTCCATGATCTCGTGGGCGAAGAATAGATCCTGCCTCCGTCGTGAAGCTCTTCGCCTGGATTGAGGGTCCCGGATGATGCTCTCGAGTTGAGGCTGACGAGCGATTCGCGACCACGTAGCGGGCCGGGACTGTCGTAGGGATTCGAGCTCGGGTTTTCGTAGTCGCTGTACTGGGAGAGATCCGATACCCTGTGGGAGAGGTGTTGGTCTTGTTGACGGAGGGGTTCTCTTCCTGCGTCACTCCAATGGGACATGGTCGTGCATGTCGTGTCTCAGTAGCAGGACAGAGTCACAGACCCAACCGCGCTGTTTGCTAGCGCGCGCAAGGGACTGGGTTTGGTGTAAGCAAAGATGTCGCTCAGTGAAGACGCGGACAAGCTGACGCGAATGGCCGTCTCTCTGGGGGCACGAATCAAACGAGTGACAAGGACGGACAATCATGCAACGCGACTGCGCTTGAGAATTGGAGGAAAAGAGAACCAGTTGCACGAGAACATGGCGGCTGAAATGAGAAGTAAGCGGCCTGAGCAAGCCACGCTGACGGTCCCTCCAATCCACATCCAGGGCCAAGCCAGCCCACGATACGGCGGGCGGCTGCAGTGCCTCCCGCGGCTTCTCGTCAGGGTCATAAGGCTGGGGTTGACCGGGGCTGTACGGCGGGATATTAGATCAAGAACTGCCACACCGTATCAACCCCTCCTGCCCCGACTGCCCCAACTACACGCACGCACCACCGTCCTCGCAGCCTCACAGAAATAGCTACCCTTACCGCGTAATTGCATTATATCGTATCTTATTTAATTTAGCGTAATCCCACGATCGTAGACTTCACGATAATATTATTTATATTGTTCGGAGGGTATATAGTAGTTATTAAAAGTGCGTGGAAGTTCTTGATTAAGATAGGTAGTTATATTTAATTAATTATAAGATAAGGCTATATTTACGATCACGATCGCCGTACCCGGGAGGTTAGCCTCGTTTCCCGCTAAGAACGGCGAGGCCGAACCTCTTCGTTAACGCTACCCGCTATAGGAGCCCTTAGCCTTTTCTATAGCTAATTAATAGCCTATTTAATTACCTTACTAACTACCTTATTAACCGCTTAATCTATTATATTATCGTAAGCTTCTTCGGCTGCCTTAATATTTATCGAGGCCTCGGACGGTTATCGCGGCGGGCTAGATAGGTTCGTCTCGCTAGGCGTCTCTCGCGCTAGGTCTTATAAAAAGGCTTTAAGGTTAATCGGCTCGTAAGGTACTTAATTTAGCTTAGATTTAACCCGAATTAAAGCTTTAGTTAATACCCTAAGCGACGGATTACCTAGTGCTATAGATTTAGCCTTCGACCGCGACTTCCGTAGCTTAGTAATAGGCTTCCTAAGGCTATCTTTAATAAATTAAAGCTTAATCTATATAATAACCCGGCTATTATTTATTAATTATTTAAAATCGGTTTTTAGGCCGAGTATATCCTATAAAGCCTTATTAAGCCTTAGTTTAAAGGAAATTAATATAAATAGCCTAGGCTTTTATTTTCCGGTTTTCTAAAATAATATACCGATTTAGATTATCGATTTATCGAGTATTTTAATAGGAAGGGTAGGTTTAATATATTAAGTAATAAAATCGCTTTTTAAGAGGAATTCAAGGTTTTCCTATAGGATTAACGGGAGATCTCTTATACTTAGTATAATTAATTATTATTTAAGACCTATTAGTTAGCTTACTAATATAAATAGAGCTTAAAGCTTTATAAATTCTACCTTATAGCTTACGGCCTATAGAATAAACTAGTTATAATCGAATATTAAGGCTAAACTTATAATTAAAAAGTAAGGTAGGCTTAGATAGCTTAGTAATAGCGAAAGCTTCTTTATATAAGCGTCGTAGGTTATTAAGCCGATCGCGCGATATAGAAGATAACGAAGATCGAGGTAGTATTTATTTAGCGATAGCCCGAACTTCTAACGATATATATCCGCTAGTTAATATTAATCGGGGCGTTAATATAAGAGGAGGGCTAAAAGGATCGTTAGATTCGACTTCGATAGCCTTAGGCTATCGTCGGTATAGTAGCTATAACGTAGCCCCTTCGTAATAAGCCTTATTTTATAATATAGTTCGCGATCGGGGTGCTCTCCGTAGCGCCTAAGTAACGACCGCGGCGGTTCCGGTATATTTACTACTAATAAGAATATTAGTATTATATTTAAATATAAAGGAGAACTAATACCTATTATTAAAGGTAATACCGCGAGTAGGGAGGGAAAGAACGTATATAGGGGCTATTTTCGTAGGTTATTATAGTATTAAAAGGTAGGAAATTACGGTAGGTTAGATATTAAGGATTACACGCCCGAATAACCTCGTTAATTTCGGTATCCAATACTACTATTAAAGAGTAATACTCTTCTAGGCGCAGGGTAAGTGAATCGCGATAATCCGGGAATCCCTTTAGTAAAGGAAGAAAGCGACCGATTCAGCAATCTTCT